TGTTCGAATGATGGCACATAAGTTGTTGAGTACGATAGTAGGTATGGGAAACGAGGATCGGTCAGCAAGAATTTAATACGGTTATAATCGATTGCTCCCATTTTTCCAGGTATACCCCATGTTCCACTTAAATGAGAGCAACGAGTGGCAACTTTAAAAAAACAACAACAACATTGAATGACTGATTAGGAATTGATAAAATACACGTAACTGTTCTTTTAGTGCGATCTCTAACGCATGAAAGAGCGACATGCACTGATTGGACATTTTTAGTAGCCATTTAGAATTCAAGCGTTTCTAAGACCTCCTAAAAAAAATAACTGCCACAGGATGACATCAAGAAACACTAAGAGGAAAAACTGAAACATACTAAACAGAGTATTAATATATATTGAACCCAGTAAAGCCTTTCATTGCCACCCACTCACTGTTGCATGGAGGACCAGGATTTCCAAAAGATCGTTTCGTCCGTGGATAAGACTGAACCACCACATTTGGGTCTTCAAGCAGGAAGAGAATAATCTAGGGAGCTCACTTAGTTTAGAACATAGATTTTGCTTTTGTGTTTTCTTAATTTGATTTTAGTCGTTTAATGTCGGTAATGTCTTTCGAGGTGCGAGGAAGACCACGACCATAGCTTTACAATTTCAATTTTTTGAATTGTTTGATATCAGACTGCTGTCGCACGTCTTAGCGATATTAATCAAGCTAGAAGTTGCATCGGTTTATTTCTCGATTATACTTGTGCTTTTTGTCTTGTTGAGGCGGGGAAGTTTCAAGAAAGAAGAAAAGGAAACCGTTTTTTGTTTGTTATTTCCGATGACCCAGAACTTTTAATTGTACTTAAACAGCCAATTTTGTCATCTTTTATCAGTTTTCCCGATGTATCGACATCCTATAGCTACCATTACGCAATGAGGAGCTTATACTATCGTGAGCCTTTATACCTACCTTTGTATTCCCAAATGTTCAATAGAAGGGAAAAATTACTTTTAAGATAAAGATCATTAAGGGAAGCATGGATGGCGTAGTGGCGAGAGTACTCGAGCCCGCCTCCCACCAGTGTGGCCCGGATTCGATTCCCGGATCCGACGCCATAAGTGGGGTGAGTTTGTGTTGGTTCTCTTCTCTGCTTCGAGGGTTTTTCTCCGGGTTCTCCGGTTTTCCTCCCTCACCAAAAACCAACATACAGATGATTCCAGCTTGCTGTAGGCTGTGTTCCAAGATCACAAATGGACCGTATAGCGGCTGCCAGAGGGGCCATTGTAAGCTTTCGGTTCGACCTTGTTGAGCTGCGTCGTTGCTGTACTTTGCGACGGCGATTAGTGGTGAAAATTATTATTATTATTGTAGTTCAGTTTAAACATAATTGTACAATGAAATTTCATTCCTTTCTTTTAATTAAGAATTATAAAAGTCTAAACGTTTTATTGTCTGGAAAATCTGCCATTATTTTCTTTTTCCAGGTATTTTAATACTACAGACTGATTTAACAATACTGCAAAAGCCTAAAACATTAGCTCCCAATTTTACACATTATCCATTTAAGCAAGGCTGCAATTTTGGCTCACTGCACTATCAAACCTAACTGTAATTCATGTAATTCATTGACAGGAAGGACTAAGACTTTTTTAGCCAGGCTGTATAAACGTTTAAGGCTACAATACGTTTACATTAAGAATAACATCCACTTGCTCAGCTTGGCACCATAAAGTGGAATCACTAATGCAAGAAGCCACACAAAGTACTTGCTGTTCAAACAAACCATAGTGAACTTTTACAGATGAACTCAGCCGATCATAACGTCAAGAGTAAAGGCGAAAGTTTACGGGACAATTACAATTCTAATTCTTAATCAGTGAAAAAAGGAAACCTGTAATAAAACCAAAAGAAATCAAACAGAACTGTATGATATTACCACCCGCGAGATAAAACAACGTTTGTTTACAAAGGTTAAGTCGTTCATCGACAAAATAAGCAAACATATCCTTTGAACACACAAAAGCAAGGAGATAAGATATTGGCTAGAAAAGAGAATGCTTCGAAAATTCTTCTGGGTAGGCAGAATAATCTCCTGGTATCGCAGGAAATGTCAGGAAGTGTGAGAACGATCTTTCCTTCATATTCTTGGTAATTTTGAATTACCCTCCACAGAACATTCCGCCACTCAAAGAAGTTTCTTCTGGGTAGAGCACCTTATCAGGGTAAATTTGTTCCAACTAAGGGGCCGGCATTTCAAACGCAACACGCAACAGGCTCCCTTTTTTTAATAACGGTTGCCTGGAGTTGGATAAAATGTGTTCTAAGCCTGGAACGCATTACAGGCATGGCTACACGCCACCTTATAATGGTTTCCTTTCGGAACGTAGCAGGGCCTGGACCGTCGCAAGAGCGACACGGCACTACACCTAAGGTTATCCCTCACGGTGAGTCACAGGGCACTACACCTAAGGTTATCCCTCACTGTGAGTCACAGGGCACTACACCTAAGGTTATCCCTCACGGTGAGTCACAGGGCACTACACCTAAGGTTATCCTTCACTGTGAGTCACAGGGCACTGCACCTAAGGTTATCCCTCACAGTGAGTCACAGGGCACTACACCTAAGGTTATCCCTCACAGTGAGTCACAGAGCACTACACCTAAGGTTATCCCTCACTGTGAGTCACAGGGCACTACACCTAAGGTTATCCCTCACGGTGAGTCACAGAGCACACCCGTCAGGCTAGGAGCCTTGCCCTCAAACAAAAGCAGATTACTTCAAAGTCGCACATGGAAAGAAAATACCGATTCTCAGCAGATATCAGATTAAGCGCCATCCAAGAAAAGCTCACTCCAGCTTTTTTTGTACAGAGGTCAATGTCAGACCCGTCATGTCTTCTATATAAAGAAAACACGATTACCTAAATCATCAAAAGAATAAATCAGCCAAACTATCAGTGAATGAATCGTTTGTGATGTCTTCTCCGAAACTGAACCATACCCTGTAAGGTCGCGTAGTATCTGACTAGATGCCTCATATGTCGTAGATTAAGAAGCAGATATGTAAATCGTAACTCGTGCTAAATTCCCTTAGACATCATTACCCGTTCAATCTGGTTTTACCTTTCTCTTTGGTATTGATAAATTTCCCTTACCTATTACTCCGACGTTTTTGAAGATTTCGGAAAATGATATTTTATCGTGATCATCTGCAGATCTCACTTTATCTTTTTGGAAAGTTTTGTGATACATGGACCGCCTGGGTTTTTTTTTTTTTTTTTTTGAGAAGGCTTGAGTATGATAAGCACCAAAAACTTTATTGTTTTAACACAGTTTTTTTTCATGCTTCTCGCTAAACGCGAACTGGTATCTGTAGCATGACGCATTCCCTTTACCGGAATCAACGACTAGTTAAATTTCAATCCAACATAGCAGCGTAAACGCTGGCTGTAGAATGATAAAATAGACTGTCCATTTTGATACCAAAACAGCTGTAGAAAAGGTAGCTTAAACATCACTTGCATTTCGGCGCACGTTTTAGTTTGTCTGATGGGATTGCATACAAGTGTGCTGCAGCTATCGAGCCCAAACTAAACCATTACTTTGGTAAAATATAGATTTAGCCAAGCCTAAAAGCGGAGCTACCAAAACTCGCCTGAGGCAACCCTCCCTTCGTTTTGATAGTCTCCCCTAACCTACCCGTGCAATCTGAAGGTACGTACTTACGTACGCTCGGTCAGTCACGCGACAACCAAACGAAAAGAGTTTGACCATATTCCATGGGTATGGGGCTCTACAGACTGATTTAACAATACTGCAAAAGCCTAAAACATTAGCTCCCAATTTTACACATTATCCATTTAAGCAAGGCTGCAATTTTGGCTCACTGCACTATCAAACCTAACTGTAATTCATGTAATTCATTGACAGGAAGGACTAAGACTTTTTTAGCCAGGCTGTATAAACGTTTAAGGCTACAATACGTTTACATTAAGAATAACATCCACTTGCTCAGCTTGGCACCATAAAGTGGAATCACTAATGCAAGAAGCCACACAAAGTACTTGCTGTTCAAACAAACCATAGTGAACTTTTACAGATGAACTCAGCCGATCATAACGTCAAGAGTAAAGGCGAAAGTTTACGGGACAATTACAATTCTAATTCTTAATCAGTGAAAAAAGGAAACCTGTAATAAAACCAAAAGAAATCAAACAGAACTGTATGATATTACCACCCGCGAGATAAAACAACGTTTGTTTACAAAGGTTAAGTCGTTCATCGACAAAATAAGCAAACATATCCTTTGAACACACAAAAGCAAGGAGATAAGATATTGGCTAGAAAAGAGAATGCTTCGAAAATTCTTCTGGGTAGGCAGAATAATCTCCTGGTATCGCAGGAAATGTCAGGAAGTGTGAGAACGATCTTTCCTTCATATTCTTGGTAATTTTGAATTACCCTCCACAGAACATTCCGCCACTCAAAGAAGTTTCTTCTGGGTAGAGCACCTTATCAGGGTAAATTTGTTCCAACTAAGGGGCCGGCATTTCAAACGCAACACGCAACAGGCTCCCTTTTTTTAATAACGGTTGCCTGGAGTTGGATAAAATGTGTTCTAAGCCTGGAACGCATTACAGGCATGGCTACACGCCACCTTATAATGGTTTCCTTTCGGAACGTAGCAGGGCCTGGACCGTCGCAAGAGCGACACGGCACTACACCTAAGGTTATCCCTCACGGTGAGTCACAGGGCACTACACCTAAGGTTATCCCTCACTGTGAGTCACAGGGCACTACACCTAAGGTTATCCCTCACTGTGAGTCACAGGGCACTACACCTAAGGTTATCCCTCACTGTGAGTCACAGGGCACTACACCTAAGGTTATCCCTCACNATGGGAACTAAAAGTCGGTAGTTAACGGGTCAAAAGCAAACACAACTTGAAAATATCAATGAAAAATTAGTTCCAGTTACTGATCAAGCAGATAAGATGAAGAAATGAAGAGATGAACAAATGAAAATTTTATTATCTATTTTCACTTAAAAATAGTTGTATTGATAAACAACGTTATCAAGTGCATTTATCTACATACATCTACGTAAACAGAACCGTTTGAGTGATCCGGTCATATTAAGAGTTTACTCGGCTAGTTATACATTAGTTATGAATTCGTAAGTACAGCCTTCTATTATCCTCCAAACAAATTTTTCACTTTACAGTCATTTTTTTGTATTTTGGATTAGTTGAAACACCTTTGTAAAGAAATTATTGTTGTATTCTCTTGATATTACTATTTCTCATTAGTTAGGTTATCTTACAGACCGTAATTCTTGATTTTCCAATCTGAATCAAATTTTATTCTCTCGATGGACACCAGGTGTAAAAATTGAATCGAAAGTATCTTGAGACCTAATCCTACTAAATTAAATTTACACAGGGTGGATACTTTTTTTCTCCTTAATCGGTGCATGTTCGAGATTCTCAGACATCAATGGAGTAATTTCAGTCCGTCCAAGCAGGGTCCTATCTGATATAATGACAATTGCAGAAATATTTCAATAGTTCCTGTCAGGTGACATGCCTGCCGCCATTTCAAACAAATCATTCATCATTATGTTATCTACTCATTGCGTTTAGAATAACTCAGGAGAAATAAAAATTGTAAATCAACTTTAAAGAGGATGTAATAATTCCCTATTTAGAAAGGATCTATTAGTATCTAAAATTACACAGTTTGACTGACCAAATAAATAGAGGTCAGTGGAGCTGGAGATGTCTACACTACAGGAACTCTTCGCCAGACGTGTAAGCCAAGGATCGCTGTGATCTCGGTTAACTTCTTCTGAAAAATACTTACAGTTAATACGACGCGAGTGCACATCAAATCAAACTGGAAAGTTTCTTACCATAGCGTTGTTATGTTTCTTTTAAGACATCACCTTAGCCCGTCTGGCAAGGGAATCTTCGTATTTCTTCTCTCTCCAGGCTTCCTCTTTCTCAGCAAAGAGTTCTTCTTTAAGGGTGGGTTTAGGATCTGGGAAATAAATAACTCTTTTCATATATACTTTATAACTTTCTTTACGAAAAACACTTCTTACAATAACGTAATAACACTACTTAAAAACAGGAATGACACTACTTACAATACAATTAGTTACACTTATACTTCTGCTACGCAGATATAGTAGACAAACATTTCTCGCCATAAGAAAATTCACTGAAGCGATACATCGTGAAGATATTCCGCTCGCTCTACGATATATCGTTGTAGCGATATATCGCCGGAACGATAGTCGTTGGAACAATTTATCGTCGGAACAAGATATTACAGGAAAGCTCCTATATCTCGTCGATTTTTCGTTTTAAATGAACGATGCATCGGATGAACAAAGCGCGATAAACGACGATAATCTTTTGCATTACTTTTGCACAATATTGTACTCTATTAACAATATCGTAACATTTCATATTAATCGTCAATCGAATATCAAATTACTAACATCACTTACAGTATAGGATACCTAGTACAATACAATGCAATACAATATAATGAAATAAATAGCTTAATACAATAGGTACTCAAATCATTTAGGAAATGTACGTCATAATTGATAAATTATGTGCGTGCTAAGTCAACATGACTTAAGAGGACACTTGGTAATATCCACTGAAAAGGGCCTAAAGAAGCCTGAGAAAGAATGTCTAGTTTAGATGACGAGAAAGCTGATCATGCTATCGTCAGTTTTTGTTAGTATCTTAAAATTTGTTTACATTCCTAAAAGGAAAAGATAAACAATAAATTGGTCATCTCTTAGTGATTCCTGGCCTGCTTGAAATCGGGAGTCATGGAAAAATAACTTCGGAGAGCTCCGATAAAAGGGAATCACTCTACGCCCAAAAGGTCATCTTATTAGTGGTTCGTTAGAACGGAGTCGGACACGGTACTATGTAAGTGCATGCGCATAAATGTTATAATGTGATTAGCTCAAAGTTAGTACCTTGACTCCTTAAAGATTTCTGACTGATTTCTGCTTCCTCGTTCTTGATTGCTCTGGTCAGCTGATCACTGACGTCACTTTCTAATTAATCGTTTAAAGAAGGAGTTGAAATAGTTCGTGATAAACTTGATTAAAAAAGAGGATTATGATATTAAAACTGCATTACAAGAAAGTCAGTCCAAATTAATTGATTAATTTATTTATTTATTAGCTTCGCCGATAGGCAGGGACCCCGCAACAGCTTGCGCCAATTACTGCGGGCCCAGTACCCATCCATCCCACCCCAGGGGAGGACATCCACCACACAGTAATCACGTGCGTGGGAAATTAACGTCTCCTACCCTAACCCTGCAGGAGACGGGACCTACGGTCCTTCATGAGGGGCAAATTATTGGTGAAATTTCTCAAAGGATATATGGCAACGTATTGATTTATAAAAGCACATTGCAAAATACTAATTTTGTAAATTAGCTCACCTATTTTGTTATCATCGACACCTTCTCCTATGTCTTGGTACTTGTACTCATATAGACCTTTAATTTCATTTCAAAAAGAAAGAATTATAGAGTGCGCCAAATAACCGCAGGTCGTGATTGGTGTGCGAAGGTAGCTGCGTCAGCAACTTTTTTGAGAAAGATTGTCCTTGCAACTTAACTGTTGGTGTCGGAAGTGATAAAGATATCATCCATTTCACTCCACTTTGCCCTCCTATTGGTTTAGAACGCTTACGCTCTCTTCTCAACCAATCAGACGCAAAATTCAAACCAAACAAACCAATCTTCGCTTATAATTTGGATATATCAACAAAGTTGAAGTGGTAAATTGGCCACCGTAACGATAACAAAAGCTGACGTTTCGAGCGTTAGCCCTTCGTCGGAGCGAATAGAGGAATTGTGGGTTGTGCGTGCTTTTAAAGGTAGAGAATGGAGCTACGTTGCTTTTCAGGTGTAAGGTGACCTTCCCACCAATAATGTAGCTCCATTCTCTACTCTTAAAAGCACACACAACCCACAATTCCTCTATTCGCTCCGACGAAGGGCTAACGCTCGAAACGTCAGCTTTTGTAATCGTTACGGTGGCCAATTTACCACTTCAACTTTGTTGATATATCCAAATTATTTCGTTGCTCCCACCGACGCAGCCCCAAACAGTTTCTTTCGAAACTATTAGCCTTCAATCTTCGCTTAGTCGATCACGTTGTTTCCCGCTACAGGTCATTTACCAGTTTACCATTGAGTCTTCTACGGCCCCTCACTAATGACTACAAGAAGCCAACTGGAACTTATAGAAAAAACAAACAAGATGCCTGAAGTATGGGAAAACGTGAGTGATTGAGTCGTGATTAGTTATAGTTTTATCGATTGAGAAAGTGGCGTGAGTTGTCTGGTCATTCTAGATTTATTCTTGTGTCAGAGAAAGGAATAAATCCGTCTGAGCAAATCAACCCTCCCCTTCCGTCCCCTCCCCTCCCCTCCCCTCTCCTCCCCTGCGTCATTCGATCGTGACGGAAGGATTAGTAAAACGTCACGCAACGTTGCTTTTCAGGTGTAAGGTGGCCTCATAGCTCAACCCTTTAACTCTAAAGATCTAATTGTCAATTCTCTTCTATAGCTGCTTCCTTTTAAACTAGTTATGAGAACTTGGTGCTAGATCAAGACAACAGCTTCTGTCTGACAAGTTTGAGTGTTCTCATTACCTGTTTCCTGGATAATGTATGGATATTATAGGGAGAAGTCACTTGTCAGTCACCTGTGGGAGTTAAATGGTTAATGTCATTCGGAAAGAGACTATTCTACCCTTGACTGTCCCACTCACCATTCTCAGCGAAGCGATTGGATGCCAGACTATTCATAGCTGGTTTTTCTGTAGAAATGGTTGGAAGTGACCGCTGTTCACTTGGCATAGCTATAAGGAAATACGTTCTGATTTAGCAAAACATTTTCAATGAAATCACACGAAGAACAAAGAGGAATTCATTGCCTGTCTTACCCAGACCCTGAGAACCAAGCTTTAAATCCTCCTCAGGGTTCACGGAAGCATCTGTAAAAAAGGATCAATGTTCTAGATATTAAGACCTTGATGTCAGTGCATCTCGAAATTCAGCCAGTAGTTGAATGCTTTGAAAATATCAGCCGATCGTGTAGAACTGAACGTTCATCAAATGAGCTCAGGCAAACAGAGGTAGAAGCGCGCAAAGCCTCTTCAATGAGCACGAACCTTTAAAATTGGTATAATAGTAAGATTATCATCTGGAAACAAGAGCGTAAAACTACAAAAGCACATGAAAAGCAAAATTAATGATCCAAAGTAGGTGCTGCGACTATCCTTTGAGTGAGTCGCGGAAATGTCTGGTGACGGTGTTTTGACCGTGAAATTATGGTGTTCACGATGTCTTGGACAACCATCTTCGCTTCCAAAGGTAATCAAATCTCAAGAAACATGCGTCGCCCACCGTCAAACGTGAAAGCCAGCCAAGAGGTCAAAAGAGACGTTTCCACCGAAAACTGGGCCAGTTCTTCGCTAAAACACGATTTTAACTTCAAAACGTAGTAAACAAACTTCCGTCAACCCTCACACAACTGATGATCGTATTTTCTCGTCTCATGCCGGAGACCGGATATTTTATTTCGCTGATGCTATAAATTTGTAAGTTTTTCCCTTTGTCCTAGGTCGTTTCCGATACCTGATGATAATATAAAAAATTCTTAACGCTACTTGTAACTCATTAATGCTGAAAATGGATCAAATCTAGCAAGTAACCTGACTCAATGCACTGCTCCATCACTTTCATTTGGTTGTTTTTGCCCTTTTGAAGAATTATTTTGTAAGGTCTACGGAGAAAAAGGAAGAAAAATCTTGATTTTTCACCCATGCAACACAATCCACAAAATGCAATGTATAAGAATATCTTCCATTTCCAATCATTGGCTTTTGCAAACCTTCCTTTTGTTTATTTAATGTCAGCTCATATATGTTTTGATGAAAAGATTCCTTTTTTCAGGAAATTTTTGTTTTTAGTTTCCCTTATCTCTGTTAAACATCAACCTCAAACTAATCATCTACATGTCTCCATAACATCGGTGCTACAATCAGCGCCAAAATTTTTGATACATTACAATTGAAATTACAAATTTCTGGAATAGCTTTAAAACAACTTTTATCCTTTTTCCCTCGACTCCTCTTCTCTGTGCAATTTTACTACATAAGCTGACGTTTCGAGCGTTAGCCCTTTGTCGGAACGAATAGAGGAATTGTGGGTTGTGTGTGCTTTTAAAGGCAGAAAATGGAGCTAGGTTATTGGTGGGAACATGGCAACGAGAAAAACACGAATAAATTAGTGGAATGAAAAGCGTTCGGCAGTCTAAATCCCTGTGGGATTTAGACTGCCGGTTTGAAAGATGAGCTTTTGTTCAAGAGTTTTACGGCTTTCCGTGCTACCTAAGTGTAAGGAAAGACCGCAGATTGCCATATTTTGCTTAGAATGATTAATGATCAATCGTTACGGTGGCCAATTTACCATTTCAACTTTGTTGTTATATCCAAATTATTTCGTTACCCCCACTGACGCAGCCCCAAACAGTTTCTTTAGAAACTATCAGCCTTTATCAAGTTTACTATAGTAATATATACGAAGGTTAATCCCTTTGATCCAAAGATCACGCGGAAGGAAATATCTGGTAGCACGCCCTTTCAGTATCAGTGAAATCAACTCTTTGTAACTATAAAGGCCACTCAATATTTAACTCTTTAGAGATAACTTACGAGTCAAAAGCTTGAAGGACATTCGTGGTGGTATCAGTGGGTACGCCATCTTTATCATAAACAATCTCACCAGCGTCAAAGAAATTGTACGGATTAGATCTTTCAAACGCTGTAGGTCTATTGGAAGGATGCTTTTGGTAGTGAAGCAGTCTCGAAGGACCACACTCCATTTTTGCCACTGGAAGAATGACAAATGTTGGTAAGGGAAATTTCTAGTCGTCTAAAGATGTTACTGAGCTGAATTCATCAGTTTTCTTGACTCTAAAAGGTCGGTGCCTTATTTATCATTATTTATCATTTATTATTTTTATCCTTCAATGGACTTATTGCACCAAATTATGACGAGTACTGTTGGCTGTGAAATTCCGGCCAAACTAAATTGACCTTGTATATGTGCATGAGTATGTATCACGTTGTGAAGTTGGAGGTGAAGCAAATTTCGAAAAACAAAGTTTTGTTATTTGAGATACTCTTGTTTAAATTTTTACTTCCTTCTACGCTTGCTTAATGGTTGTGCGGTTGACTGTTAAAATTCGTTTAGCCCTACTGTCTAACGAATTAGATTATGGTACAAACTAGACCAATAACAAACAGCCGCTATTTTTGTATGGTGTGCTGTTGATAACGTTTACTTTAAACAAAAGCTTTTATGGGAAGGGGAGTGTCTGAAGCTTCTAACCTTGGCGGCCACGGTATCGCACCACGTGGGTTTGAAGTTGATCGTACGGATTCTGCTCCTCATCTTAAAAAATAGTGATATTATGTCATCATTATCTTAATTTTCTTTACATTTACTTTTGTGTGTAACTGTAGGAGCGATGAAGTGTTGCCACAGAAAAGCCAGAATTGATAATAAATCAATTGCTATCGTTGTCGTTATCATTGTCAGTTATCGTCATCGTCATCGTTATGGTCATCGTCATTACCACTGTCATTATTGTCATTGTTGCTATGAATAAAGCGGCTAACTTTCTGTAAGTCGTAATACGCGTCACAACCTAACAGTCGACCAAGAAAAACGTTGCCTCCTCAAAAATGAGAAAAACAGACGGATTCAATAAATCATTATTCTATTTTAACCTTCTTGCGATTTACATTTGCTCTTGAAGATGCTATGGATCGATTATTGCCATGGTGACAGTCAAATCGGCGGTGGTTATGATCAGTACAGTGTTGGTGTCAAAAAAAACCATCACAGAAATCTAACTCAGTTTGTCTGGTTATGCTTGTAAGTAATTGCCTTTAAATCAAACCTGATGCATTTGTTGTAAAGAACGTTGTAGTATGCCGACACGGCAGTAAAATTGATATACTAGGTAACATTTGTGTTGGAATGCAACTTACCAACGTTTAGATAATGATTGTTACCATAGCCATCTCGGTGTTTGTAAACGTTTTTGTGCACGTGGTTTAGGACAACTGGTTTGTGACGGTGGTGCTTCTTAGGCCATTCAAACTCGTGACCATAATCTGCAATAAAATATTGTCCTAACTCACTCACAGGCTTTGACAAATAAAAAGCGGTGAGTTGCGTCGATTTAAATTAATTTCTCTAGGTAAGTAAATATATACGAAGTGATTTTGACCCGTTTTATCAGACAATCATAGTTAGTAGAGGGGACAAACTATGAGGCAACAAAGCAGTTGTCTTTACACTACGAAATATCACCTAGCATCATTCCATAATAACCCATTATTTAATGATATTTTCTGAAATTCGTAAGCTCAAATAGATCATGATGACTTGTGTTAAGGTATCATATTGTGACATTAGATCATAAAAGGTTTGGCTCATTTGGCAAAGACCGAAAGGAGTAGAAACTGCAAAGAGATTTGAGCATTTACAAACACTATTCCCAAAAGGCTTAGACGCTAATACAAGGGAAATACTCCTAAAAACAAAAAGGCTTTTTTTGTTTCGTTCACCCTTGTAGGCCTCTGTAGCCGTTAAAAGTTTCTTCTTGCAGCATACTGTCTTCCGTGACTATATGATGAATTGGTGATAGAAGTCGTCTAACTTTCTGATGCATTTTAAATACACGAGATAACAGCTTATCTTAGACGGCATGTTACCTTGGTTACTGGAAGGTTCATTTGCACTTCCGGAGTCTTCTTCATCGCCATCCGAGTCGGCTTCTTTTTCCCCTACTTGGTGTTGCATGCACGAAATGTATAATTGATATATTTTTAAAGTTAACATGCGTCCATACATGTAGCTTAATGCTCCTCTTGCCGTTGGTTAAAAATCTTTAAAAAAAAACTGAACATTTTCTTTTCGAGGGGAGGTCTTTTAGCAATGACTATATTTAATTTGCCAACTGCAACAGGCTAAGTTGCCGTAGTATTCCATACTCTTTGTTCCCAAAAATGACGAAATATTGCCATTGTGTGATTACAATCATGCTTTAGTGAGCTAATTGTCTTAACATGGTCCAATCTTTTTCCCTAAATTAATATCAAGTGTTAGAAAGTTTAAAGGTTGCTGTGTTTAAAGCAAGACACTGCATTTTGGGCCGTCATCAGTTGTACACGAAGTACGAAATTGACCTCATCAGTCCTAAATGTACAGATGCAGTTGGACTGATCAGTTGGAAAGTTTTGTCAAAACCAATCACCTACCAGGATCTGAGGCCTTCGGATTTGCTTCTTCTGCGTGATATTCAGGAAACTCCTCGGGACCTATGAAAAAATATTTATGCATGTGGTCAAGTGTAATCATTGAATAAAGTAAAAAAAAAACAATCTATTTGAAAATCAGTCTTGGAAAACAAAGCATACTTAAGCGGTCGGTTTGATGTTTGCCTTTCTTAAGTCCTGAGAAAAAAACAAGATTTCCATCAGTAGAAAGCAAATCATGTCAAAGATCTTAACACTTATTTAATGAGGAATTTCACTGAAAAGTTACCGAAAAAATATTTCAATAGTAATCAATCTGGGGTTTTCTGGTCGGGCAAACTGTCCCAAACTTCGCAGCGCTCTCGTTAAAAAAGGCAAATTGGGATGAGATGAATTTCCAATGTGCACCAATCATTGCATCAAATCCCTTTCGTCTGAGCTTGTAACAACTCGTGTTCATCGGTGTAGTTATTCATACCGAGTTTAAATAATTTTTATGAAGATGTGTGTGAAACGCAACGCACCTGAATTGAGAGAGGAATGGTATTTGCCTGGTTTAAATCCTAATGAAAGTAAATTCACGAGTATTTAGAAATGAACACTTTTGCTTAACGATACAAAAATCATAGCTATTCCAATTTCGTTAAATGGCTATCGTCATAAACTGCTGTATTTCATGTTATATTCATTACTTTGCAAAGTAATGGGCTGGAAATTGCAAGATTTCATTGAAGATTTTTTCAATTCTTTTATTTTCCCCAAACATTGCTGTAGATGTTAGATCTTGAATCAAAGCCACGCTTCAAACAATCTCTGTTTATTCTGCAGTCATTAAAATCGTATCCTTGGTTTACAGAACAACTTTCTTGAATCTCCTAAATGATAATAGATCAATCACGATACAATAGAACAAGTAAATATTTGAAACTCAGATACTCTGAAAGATATGCCTCTTAGGACTTTTTGCTCCTACATTACATTAAACGAAGTTTTTTGTCAACATGTCAAGCGTTTTCAAGTGTCCCATCCAACTCTGATGCCATCCAACTGCGTTAGTGTTGATTTAACAACATTACAGTACTATCACTAAGTCGAAAGAGGCTGGTGAAGAGTCACCTACCTTTACATCCTTTAACGCACGGCATAGTGTCAACTGGTGCTCCGAAATGACTGCAGTCACGTCCACCGAACTGAGGTCTCGGATTAGTGCATGACCTGTGTCGGTAACGCACTCCTTCACCACATGTTACGCTACATTCGGACCACTCTGAGTAAGGTGTGTAGCCTCCATGAACTGTACGATAAACAAAAACAATTTCCTGGGATCGAGAAATTTTAAGTGAACAAATGTGCGATCAAGTAGACTGCATAGGTTATTACCTAGCCCTTAAGACCAAAATTTAAACTTGAAATGAGTTTAACTCTTAACAAATTTATAAGGCAATGTTCCGACAGAACTGCACACTTGTCTTTCACTGAAAGAAGTTTTTTCTTCAATCTTGAAGAAGTCGCCTCTTTCTTACTTGGACAGCTCTACACATTGTAGAAGCTTTCCCATGTCGAAGTTTTTTCTGCAATCTTAAAGAAGTCGCCTCTCACTTACTTGGACAACTCTGCACATTGCACGACCTTCGCTGTAGAACTTGTCGGTTGTTCACTTTGATCATGCGCAATCTGACACCTCCGCCGCATGTTTTATCGCAAGAAGTGAAACCCGTTGCTAGCACGTGATCTGAAAATAACATAAACACAGTCATGTTAGGCTTTTCACAGACTTTTTAACAAAGAATGATCTGCCCTCTGTCTAATTGTTCAGTTTTTAACGTCAAATTCAACAGAGTCAAGCAATGACCAGCGATTACGAGTCACAGTCACAATCACTAACGACTCTATGAGAAAATTTGTTTACACATTCCCGTCATTACACAAAAACTGAGCCCTTCCCATTGTAAAAAGTCTGCCAAAATTCAAACGTAACGGTTTTTTGCTCACATCACTGCGTCACTTTCGCACATTTGACCCATGATGATGTATACAGCGCGTTCGGCCAAAATAACGCAGATTTTCGCTCACCCTCTATATTGTTCCTGGAACACTTCAAAATTCTGCACTATCCATTTTATGACTTAAAGGTTTCTTCTAACCTCTAGTAACTTACTGCATAGTTTGCAGGCCTTTTTACAATATCTCTTCATCAGCTCGCTAAAAGTTAAACAATATCGTTGGGCCGCCCAGTCCTCACAGGCTTTGGGGAACTTGTCCTCGCATTCGCCAAGGTAAACTGTACATGCACAAAGGTATGATGTATTATATTAATCAAGGATGGTTGTCGTTGACCATTCCTTCCTAGTGGTCGTGGAAACTAGTGCTATGCACGATCTTGGATTAAACCAAAAGTTGACGCAATCAACCAGCACAAGGAGAAAATAGCTTAACATTAACGATTGCTTCTCGGTTTATTGATAATCGAGCGGGATAGGGATGCATAAATGAAAACAGTAGTTACTCTGATAACTACCTTATTAAATATATTGGACATTTACTCGTATTAGGAAAAGTAAATTTGTGTTTTTGAGTAGTTTCCTTGTTTTTTTTTTTTTTAAGGAAAAGGGCCTGATGGGAGACGAAAGAGCTGCTACTACTTCCTGTAGTACATACCTATTACCAGTGGAAAAAAAAACCGAGACTCATAAGGATTGAAATAAATGTTAAATTGGTGTTATGGGGAGCACCCGTATTGTTACATCCTCCCTTCTTGACTAATAGAATTCCATTAGGTGAAATAAGAAAAAAACGCTGAGGCTCAAATGACTCTTGTATGCAATACAACATATAGGTGACTCACATATCTTGGCAGAATCATCAGGATTCAGCTCGTTAAAAGTCTCCTGTAATGAATTGTTGTGGGGCTTGAGCTTTTTCATCCAGTCAGTCACACTGTTTGTAGTGCCTTTGTCGGCGGTGACAGGAGTTGGGTTTCCTGTGGCATCATGATCGACAAGTTCACTAGCCAGGTGATCAAACACCTCTGAAGAAGCATTGGTACGAGCTTTGCTACTGGGCAGGTTTCTATTGCCTTGAATCACGTGCAATCCTGGCGCGCTTGTTGGTGCAATAGAATTTTCCCCATGGGGATAAGCATCCATCACTGGCAGCTGCGTTTGTTTTACGCTGTCGTTCTGCAAGGTAGAAGTCTTCGCTGTCGGACTCTTTATCATTGTAGACGCCTTTTTATCGGCAGCTAGCGGTGTGACCGGGGAACCCGGTAACTTCGTAATAGTTGTCTGTGTGGTCGATTGCGACTTTAGCACCTTAATGTTCGATGGTTCTTGGGGCAAGTAAGGCGGGTTCTCGTGAACTTGTGGAGTTCCACTGAGCGCCAGAAATCGACCTTTATTTTTTAGATGTTGCTGGTGTAATGCATTTGGATGTAGTTTCCTTACCACAACAATTCCTTTTTCACTAGTTTTTTTATCGCTTGGTACATCCTCGATCGCCTCCAGAACATTCTTTAATTTCTCAATGTTCGAGCTCAAAGCTTTGTTTGCCACCGTCAAATCCTTGTACGCCTTGTTCTGCACAGCGTGTGGGCGCAATGGAGTCTCGTAAGACGTTCTGTTTGAACGAGTTTTGGGGGAAAATACGTCATCGATACTAAACCCGGCAAGCTTCTCTTCGTGTTTCTCCTGTTCCTTGTTCTTCAACTTGTACGGATGGTTATAATGGTATGTTGTGTCGATTGTAAGTTTTCCGTTCAACTTGGGTTGTCCTGTAACTACAATCTCCTTATCAATATCTGTTTCATCGTTCTGATCCACAGGCTTCGAGAGATCGATCACAGGGCCTAGAACCTCCACTCTTTGTGTTCTTTCCGTTTCATTGTCCTCTGAAGAGTTGTGCATCGAGTCCTGTTCATGGCTTGGTTGGTCAACATCGTTTTCAGAATGAATTTTTTTCGTTTTTTCCTCTTCATCGGCTTCTGTATGGATCTCAATATCGTCGACCGCACTTGCTTTGCTATTACTTTTATTTCCAGTGTGAATTGACGGCTTTTTGAGATAATCTGAAGCTTTCTCCGCTATGGTGTTCACCTTTTCCTCGATATCTTTCTCTATTTTCTCGAGGTACGTGGTATTGTCTGTATTCTGGGAAATTCTGAATGCTTAAAATAAGTTGAGAGGTATTTGTGAAAATGTGTACCATAAATTGGATCTATAAACTTCGTTCCGGCGGTCTTTTTCAGAAAGTTAGCTTCTTTGCTTCAGAGCCAAATTTCAAATTCAGTACAAATTTAAAGAAAATTGAAACGGCCTAACTGGTAAAATTTTTTAAAGAATCACTTTGATAGATTGAGAAAAAGTAAAGATTAGGCGTCCGAATTTTTCAGCAAGGCTGCTAAAAAGAGGTTCTTTTGAGCGTGTAATTGTCTATCATTATTTTGAGAGAAATTAACGTACCATCTTCGATTTCCTTTAAAATTTCTTCCTGGTTTTCTTCGGGGGATTCCGCTATGAGAAAAAATGAAAATAAAACTCATTTGTAAAAGCCAGAAGATCATGTACCCATCAGACATTTGGGGACGAAGCTACTAGTCAATAGCTCGGGAATGAATTAAAATAAAATTTTTCGATTCATCATCGATATCATTTCAGGTAAAGCTCGAAATCTGCTAGAGACAATTTAAACAGTCAGTTTGCTCTTATACAGATGAATATGCCAATGCGTTTATCATATCTTGATATTTCATATAAAGCTCGGAAGGTTTTATGGCTGCTTCAGTCAATCGGTTTTATGAGTATTCGAAACGGTTTAGATTAAGTAATCAGAACCAATTTATATCACCGTATACAAACTTAGCCACACCGATTTGACATAACTTTGGAAAAAGAAAACATTTAAAGACAACCAGGAATTGGGCTTAGCATGTTTTAACCACATACTTAAGCTTATACTCAATGCTGTCGTCAAGTTTTTTTCAATCTGAACTTGTGCTTCATATGACAGTGGACCTAATCACAAGAAAATGATGGGCCCATTATGGGCCAAATGGGCAAAATGTAATAAATTGCTACTACGGATTTTTCATTCAATACAGTTTTAGATGAGTAATGAGCATGATTTATCTACCTTCTGTGTGTATCTTAATTGGCTTTTCATCATCCATCTGATCATCTGCGAATTGCATAATAACGACAGTCAAATACTATCAAGACTCCTCGCAAATACTATAGTACCAAAAACATCAACAATTACTAAGAAATTACCTTCGGTGTGTATTACGATTGAGTCGTCCTTTTCATCTAAACGAAAATAGTCTTAATTAGAAACATTTACATATATTTTTCTTTAGAATTACGAAAGTTGAATAGTACGCAATCACCGTATACATGTAATATGGGAAGGAAACTATGAAACCACTCTTGTTAGATATATATATATATATATTGAATGTAAGAATAAATCAACGATTGTTTAGGTTCAGTAATGTGATTCAGTTTGGAGCAATCAACAATTGATTATCTAGAGCTGGCTGCAATGTGTTTTTATCCGTTCATTGTCTTTGACAAAATTGATATTTACAAGAACGAAGAACGACATTCTCATAACTTCGAACGGAGTTCATGATCGCCGATATTTGCCTGCTCTAACTGCTATCACAAGTTATAAATGGCTCAATATTCTGTTACACGTAAAAAATTAATGATTTCACATCCCAAAATTAATCGCCTGAGCTCGAGAATTAAGGAAGGATTTAATCGAGGTCATCCTAACCAATCAAAGCTCTCATTGCCATGTTTAATTCCCATCAGAGGTTGTATTATATGATAATTTTTCGAAGTAAACGTAACAAAGCTAAGGGAGATGGTGGACGTTCGAACATAGATCAAGACCACTGTCTTTGCAATTACTGCAACTCACTCTAATATGATGAAAGTTTTAATTTCCATATAGGAAAAAGTCTGTCAGGTCTCAATTCTTGTAAGAGATTAACATTTAAAACAACCTGTTACAGCTTTCCCCTACCTTGATCCTTCGATAAATACGCCTTCTCAAAATCCTCTGTATGTTCGAACATGAAGGACATCAAATATAAAGTTAACAAGTACGTCAAATTTCTCTTGTGAAGAAATGAAGAATTGCTAACAGTGGTACGTTTAATTCTCACCAGCGTGTAAATCGTTGGCTTTTGCACTCGCAATATCAGCGTCTTCATCTGCAGTGTCTAACAAAATACAGAATGCAAACTAGATTTCCATGCGCAGAGTAAAAGGATAAACACACTTTAGGATAGACTGATAGAACGTCAGTCAGACTAACATGGTGGTAGACAGTCTGAACGAAAGGGAGGAATGAACAGATTTGTAAGCAGAATTGTATGTTCTTAGACTTTGCCAAAAACTTTTCTTGAGAGAGATTTCAAAGAAATCTGCTGAAATAAAGCAAAAGGAGGATGATAATTGATCAGGAAAACTTACCTATAAATGTACCGCCTCCAACTAAAACAGTCTTTTTTTCAGCATTGCCATCTAAAACTCATAAAGATGATCTTTATCAACAATATAATAGCAATTTATTTTATAATCATTAGAATCGAGAGAGGAATGATAGAAATGATATGATGGGACATATATTCTATTAAAGGAACTCAGGGCGATTTTTCCGTTAATCGACGGTCATGATAAGAAAAAATAATTAAGAAACTCTGACACGAGTTGTTTGTTTGTTATGACTTAGATAAGGTGAGCATTCCACCTTTCGACAGAGCAGATTTAACCGTTGATATCTGTATATTAACCGTGTCGAGAAATCCATTCTGTCCATGAATCAACACTTTCATATCCGCTTTCTGATGCACAAATAAATTACGTTTCCCCCTCTTGTTTTTGTTCTAAAAAATGCCTCACCTCCTGCCCACTGGGCCTAATGTTGGAGCATTTTTCTCGCGGCAAAGTGTTAACAATCGTTTCAAAGATACGAATCATTGAAAAGGGAAAACAGACTCATGATTACCATTTCCCTTCTTTGGAAAGCAGCGATGGGGAGCGAGAAAAAAAGTAGAATCCAAGACGTCTTTACTCGATTCATTAACTTTCCTGAGAACCATTTTGTAAGGCTTGTGTTTCAAATGTCGCAGGAACCACGCGGGATGACTGTAGAGCTCAAACGCATAAAGGGCTGGGCGTTCTGTCACTTTTAAAATGAAGAATGTTGCGTCCTTATCTGGGAAAATATATCAACAGTTTCGTTACAACACTGCTGCACAAGGAATTCATTATTTGGACAAACTTTGCTGGCTTGAAAACTATTTCTATCACCTGACATATAATTGAACTGAGTGAAGTGTAGTTTGGTTTGAAATCATAAGCGCGATTTTAAAATCATACGATTGCGTAGCACAAGTTTTATTTGAAATTACAAGTATAATTGCGGATCATAGTTGCACGACACGAAAGTTTAATCACCACTTTATTGCATCCTTTTTGAAATCACTAAATTCAGTGGCTCAGATACAGGATTTTTTTAGCCTGTACAAATGTTTTGTTGATACAGTGGTGAGCTGGTCTGTAGAAAGTTGCAGAACTTGTTTTCCATTTACCTGCAATTTGATTGGTTTCTATTTGTAATTGGCTGTTGTATTTTAGTAAAGCTTCCCATTGCCTGGGGAAAAGATGCGATTTAGAGCAAAACATGGTTTAATTCGTGAATAACTCGCACTTATGAGAGCCAATAAGATTAAAAGAATCACCAGTGATTTCAAAATGGTATAATAAGTTTAGGCAATAACATGATTTCAAGTGCAATTTGTTGTTAATAAGCACGGGTGCATTCTTTAAAAACAAGAAAATTGCATGAGCCCGAAGGGCGAGTGCAATTTGTAGTCTGCAGTAGTTATTACGTGTTTTCATAGATACGTGATAAAGTTTAGAGCTACGATTTTGTTTCTTGTTTTTTTTTTTACAAGTCATACAGTTGCTAGGGTAAGCTGATCGTTAATCTTTCACTTGCTCCAAGACAGTCGACAACATAGCCGCTTTTTTTCTTTAGAGAGGACAGTGAATGCGTAAATTCGCAACTACAGGTCTTCCTGAGTAAGAAGGTGAGTTCGTAACTTTTCAGCTTGGACATAAGGTTAAGAAACATGTCTTTCGTCTTGTCAAGAGTGAGGAAAAAGTCTGAGTATTTCCTCATTAGGAATCGAACCCAAGACCTTTCGGATTTCTACCACTCAGCCGCAGATAACTCTATGGTTTAGTAGGCGTTTACTAAGTTCTTTCTTGGGACAAAGAAAAAATTTGTGTCAGATTTCTTCTGTGTTTTACCGTTCTGACAAGACGATTAACATCTTCCATCAGTAAATGTGTCGAAAATTTAAAAACTTTGTTCACATACTAGACGGGTTATGTTGGCCGCCAATCATAATTAATTGCACTCAACAGACGAGCATTTCGGCGGTGAAAATCATTTAGTTATTTTGCCTTACCATATGTATTGAATTAAAGTTCAAAATCCGACAAACAACACTTACAGAACACTGAGTTGTTGACCTCTTTCTCCAAATGGAAGTGGTAGTTTTTGTGGCGCAGGTAAAACCTGGGGTGAAACAGCGCTTCCAAAGATACTGTTCCCTTCTCATCCGTGAGTCCCTTACGAATCCGAAAGATTCCTGGTTTGTCCGTAAGTATCGCTCTCTTTTTGTCAGCTCGTACGCCATAGTTCTCTGTCGCTCGTGTTGGATCGTCAAGAGGGGTGTTAATAGAAACTATCTTGACACATTTAGGAAGCAGGAGGTCTGTTACAGGTGGAAATATGGCACATGTCTTTCACGAAAAGTAACAGATTCATTCCTAGCGAAAATGCATCGCTAGTAATGCACTGTTTGTGATAATTATCTTAAAAGCAACAAAGGGAAATCGTGCAATGAAACCCTTTTCAAAGCGTTACTAATTGCTTCTATGTCAAGTTCATGGATCTAATGAAGCATAAGAATACAAACAGGCCAGAGATCAAGGCCATCACTTTTAGCAAGTTCAGTTGGTACTTCGAATGCATTACCGGTTAAAATGGATTTCAACAAACATACAGGTAATTTTAGACACAGAAAACACTTCAATTCGTTCTGAACCAAAACGTGTCATCTGCTTTCGATACCGTTGAAGCCTGAAGAATCTGTGCCCTCAAGCATTATCTTTCAAGAAAAAATGTGAAGCTTCCGTTCAAGCAACGCACTGACCTTTTTTTGCTAAGGTAAGACACAGGTGGAGAGACAAAACCGCGGCAACATTTGCGAATAACCTCATTCCCAAATTGTTTACCAGTAGGCTGTAAAAGTGGCAATGGAATTCAAAAACAAGAAGTCATGTTTTGGCTATCTTAAACGCAAAAAAATCGGATTGAATTTATTAATGACCTTATGTCTCTGATTCACTTGAGCGAGCACCAATGATGTAATTCATCGAATTGTCAAACCTCAACAGGGAGCTTTATGTGTTCAAATTACCGGCACCAGTTAAGGAGCCAAAACAGCGAATTGTCCCGCGACAAGTCCTTCAATTTATTACTTTACACTGAATTGAAATGTCCATAACCAAGAGCGTTTTTCTAAAAAAATCTTACATTGAAGAGTTCGCTGCTCTTTGACAACAAAATTTGTCGTAACGTAGCGCCTGTTCGTTGGAACAGTCAGAGGGACTATGATAGAAAAAGGGATGGGGGGGGGGGAGGCTTGATTCTCATCCAGGCAGTCTTGTCATCGTTAACTTTTAGGTACGATTAATTAATTACCATTATTTCCATTTTTTTGTTCTTAGTGTAAACGAGAAGAATAATGTGATTTCCTTTGAGTGCACTACAAAAGTTACTCAGTAAAAAATTAAAGGTGTACTTGTCTGCCTAGTCTGCGGGTCTGTGCCACTCAAAACTCTCACAAAACCGCCAGCTTTTCAAGTTAACGGTGCTTCGCTGATGAGATAAGGAGGGTGCCCCTTGTTCGAATCAAAAGCCCTCGAAATTAAGGGTAGTATGTATTTATGAAATCAACGAATCCAGTGCAATCACGAATGACCGGTTCTTGTCGAGCATTTTTATTTAAAAAAAAATATAGAAGAGAGTATTCCTTTCGTTTTAAACAAGGAATCTAGTGACGCTAAAAACAGCTTTGAAAATGAGTGTCAGTGTTTTTTAGAATGAATCCCTTGTTTTGGTCTCAGAAAACCTTCCACAGTAAACGAAAATGTCACCTTCAAGAGAGGCCTGGTACTACTGAGCCAAACAGTTATGTCAAGAGAGTCCTCTTTACCTTTCCAAAGTGTTATTCATTTCGAACCTGCCGTATATGGACATTAATAGGATGTTCAATACCCATGTTTGGTTTTGCACTTTGTTTGTTTGTTTTATTTGTTTATTTGTTTTTTTTGTCAAGATAATGTACTCGTACTCATATAGCTAGATATTTTTCGTAAAAAAACCAGAGCCGCCTGGCCTCGCCCGTATGTAATGGTATCTAGTATATGAATAGCGTCGAAAATTATCTGGGATTGCTTTGTTTTGCTTTAATTTTTCCTGTGATTGGTTCAGAAATTCGCATCACTCTCTAAACCAATCAGATGCCACCACTTCCTCGACCAATCAGGTGCAAAAATAAATCCAAGCACGACTTAGTCTCGCACGTTTTTCCGCGCTTTAGACACTTTGGTTCTTTTTCCTCTGAGTTCTCATTTGTTTCTTAAGGGTATTTTTCCTTTCTTCTGATTGGCCATTGTGATTACTTTGGTTCTGGTTTCACGACACTCAATCGAAAAGAGCTCTTTCAAAAAGTACTACCATCTGATTGGCTTCGCCACTCGCTACTATTTCGTGATAAATAGCGAGTCATGTGGGAAGCTCAACAGTATGGGATATTGAGGATAGGATAAAAACGACGAGGCTCTCCTGTTCTTACGTTCAGAATGACTACTAGAAATAAATAACAAATCAATTATTAGGTCTCAATTGTTTATGCATGATGTTGATCCGGGCTTCACCCTTATCAACTACCGTACGATAAACAATTTCGAGTATATATGCTAATTCTCAAACGTAACAGTTACATCTATAACAGCTCCGTATTGGGTTGAATTGTCTTGGCAATAGATTATAAACTTTTTATAATCTCTTGTTTTTTGGGTCCCTTTATGATAACCCTGAGTATCGGCTGATTGAAAAAGTTCGTGATCGTTATTACCTTTGTTTTCTATTTAAAAGGCCTAGTTAAAACAGCTATATTAGAAATAGAAGGGGGAGGGGGGGGGGGAACTGAATGATTCCAGCCTCTTGTTAATTCAATAGGCGAATTGACATTCTTTTCTTATTCCCTGTTTGCTTTTGTAACTACGGCTGGGCTCTTAACTAGTAGTCTTAATCTTGAAAATTCCATTTACAATCGGAAGCTAAACGCCACGAACGCTTCGTGTTTTCCTTTCTGATCACACTGGTTTTCACCTCCTCCTCACATCCCCATCTATGACAGAAATTTGAGTATTCTCGGTCTCACTTTGGAAAGAAAAGTGGTTGGACATCACCTTTATGAAGTTCGCCACCCAGTGAATTGGACGCTTGGTGAAGAGATTAGAGAATAACAGGCTGCTGCGCAATGCCTCCTGGGAATATTTTTCAGGCCTCCTTTTTTTTTTGGCAGAGGTTCAACACTGTTCGGTGGGAGGCAAGTCAAGGGCGGCTGTTTTAATTCGGTGTCTGTTTTCCCTTAAATAATTATTATCACTCGCAATAAAAACAACATATGTGGCTTCGTCTCCTAAAGGAGAAAGTAGCCCCAACAAATCAACCCAATGCTTCTGTCTGCACTTCGCACAGAAAAGGGCCCGCCGTGTGATTTGCAAATAATGGGAATGGGTTAGGAATCGAACGAAAAATCGTGAAAAAATATGCAGACTTGCAGATGAATGATTCGCCTTGGCCTCCACCTTGGTAAACGATTTAATTGCCACTAGCAAATCAATACACTTTGTTCAATCTCGTCTAATAACTGTTGAAATTTGGACGTGGAAATGAATGAAACGAATGGGAAAGTGACGGAATCTAAGGGAAAGCCTTCGTTTAAATCTTCTCCTTGTTGACCAATCAAAACCCGTTGATGACTTATCAAACTTGTGAACAGACTACAACATTACTGAGTTTGTTGTAGCGTCGTTAAAAAAAAATTATACTTCTTCTTAAATGAAAAGATTTCTTTCTTTAGCGTGAAGAAAATATATCAATTGTGGGCCACGATGCAGCCTCATTGAGTTCGAATTCATCTCGTAGTCTTCTTAAAATTGTGAAAAATTCTTCTTGCTCTTAAAAACTGCTTTAAGTAATAACATCGAGGTTTAAGCCCGTCAGAGAATTCATTAGTATATATTCAGTTTCAAACGACGACATTTTTTCACATGCAAGTGACACTCGGTGATAGCCAAAACCTGTTTATTTGGCCGGTACCTGTTAGATTGAATCCACACAACAAAGCCATGAAAAAACTTGCTTCGTTCTCGACGATTGCTAAAGATCAACTCTAACTCGTAAAGAAAAAACGGCGACATTCTCGCAAATTTTTAAACAAGAACTGAAAATTCACATACGGTGATTTGCATCACTCCAAAGGGTCATGAAGTGAAAGTCTGTTATTATTTTTAATCATAACCCGAAAGATTTAAGTAAGTACCTAATAACAGATGTCCAGCTTATCCCATTCATTTTACAGCCACAACGCATTATTGAGAAACTGTATTTTCCTCAACAGGTAAGCACCGTATTTCAACAAGCGTTTCCGTCTTCTGGACACCAATTGAATTGCAGCCATGACTTTATGGAACACATTTTCCAGCATATTGCTCTTACAGTTGTGTCTTGTCTGCACAGGTATGGCACCTTTTGATATCAATTATGGAAGTGTTTATCTGACCCAATCATTCCAATAAAAGCCGGCCCGGAATTCGACCTTATGGTCCAAATTTGAACTCATGGAACAACTCGATTCGTCGGTGGTGTTTAAGAACACCCTTGAAGGCTGTGACTTCTGTGATTATGATTACCGGTTGACTGGCAGGAGGTATCAGTGTGGGATTGTTTACTCCAAAACAAACTCGTTGCTTATTGTCCACAGTATCGCTTTGTATATATCATATAAGATGTAATTCATACCCTTTCGGTTATTCATACGAATTGGTAATTGGAGCTACAACAGCTCGGTTTGCACCACAGAGAAAGGAAGATTGTTTACTTCATTTATTCCATCGGTGACCTATTGTGACGCGACATATGTCATGGTTGTGTCGACTCAGGCTGGGATATTGAAATTCCTATGTATGATCGAAGAATATTGTTCACATCAATACTAAAGTTGTTGTTGTGTCTTGCGTTTCTTGAATCAGGATGACATTAGCTCGGGTTCTGCTGAAATTTTCAATTCGGTTAAATACTCTTCATATACTCATGTCAAATATTCTCACTATATTTGTTTTTAACCTACCAGTGTTCTGTTTTAGCTATATCCATTGCAGCTAAAATGTGTACCTGAGAATTTCTTGACAGGTCAGCGAAAGTGAAAGCAAGAAAACAAATGAAAAGTGATGATCTCTTTTCTTCGTTCGAACTTGTACGCATTAAAGTCACAACCAACGGGCGAAATGCTTACTGCTGAAAACATTTATTTCTAGATCCTAAGAAAGAAAATTCGACCTTTGACCTAGAAAAGCCTTCTTGTTGTGGGGCCATTATGATCTGAAATTGTTGAAAAATAACTTGTTATTGATGTACTCCATGCGTTTAGATGCCAGGCACACATCACCACACAGTAAAAGAACAGTAAGATCCCAAAGTAGACAAAGTCAGAACACTACTACTGCTTTACAAGAGTCTAGTCCTGGATGGCCGAGTTCTCAAATCAGCAAACGACGCCTAGTTCCCATGCCTTTTGCAAATCGTGCGTATCAAAATACTTTCAATCAGCGGCTGTTTTACCGCAGACAAAATAACTGGCTTGCAAAGCGATACAACAATTTATGGAGGAAATACGCAGTTGGCAGTATCCCTGTCAGCCCCTATCATCAATCGCTATCACCTCAAGGTTATAACATGGTTCAAAATCCAGGATATAGAAATCGGTTAACACAAGCAACGAAACTTCGGAATAACGCTGATGAAGACACGAAATTTGTAGAAGGAAGAATTCAAGAATATTACGACCAGAGAATTAACAAGAATAGGAACAAATGGATGTATAAGCCGATTGGAGGTACCACCCAGCACCTGAAAGACATCTTCTTGGGGCGGTGTTGGGATTTTGTTGAAAATAAGGGAAAAGATCTTGATAATCCGTTCAAAGTAGATTGTAAGGAGCTGTGGGAAACGTTTTCGAAGAGTTTTGCCTTTAAAGGGCCCTGTGATGTTACTGCAAAGGACTATGCTCTTTTCTTCGACTTGTATGACGAGAAACCGCTGAATGACAAAGTAAGTGCATCTTGTGTGGTTTGAGTCAACTTCTTTCTTTTTATTTCGTGATTGCGTGAATTCATGAAAGCAAAAAGGAAGCTCCAATTTCATTGTGCACTCATTCTCCAAAAAATTGGAAATAATGTTGACGGTTATCGCAGATGTAATTTCTCAAAAAACTTATTTGTTCAGTGTCCTTTTGACTATTAAACCGGTTTGTGCTGTTTCTTTCCCGCGCATTTTTCAGGTCATGTTTTGGTCAGGAACAAGAGAACTAACGCATGCGTACACCAGACTGTACCACAGATTTACAACCTTGGAGGATACATTAGCAGGGTAAGAATAACCACTTTTTTTCGGTATCCAGCTCTTTCAAATACTTCTGAACGATTTTTTCATCTTGATGCTTCTAGATACTTGTTGAGCGGCTTGAGATGGTGTGGCAGCAAGGAGGATCCTGGGATAAACTACAAGGAATGTCCTTACGAATGTAGCAAGCAGAAAGCATTTTGGGGTCTGGCTGCGGAAAAGGTAACCATCCTGTGTAAACACTAATTAGATGGCCATTGTGGTGTGCAGATTTTTCTCAAAAGGATTTTGGTAGCTTTACAAAGCACGTTTGCATTGTCCAGTGCCTCAATGTCACCCCCTTCACCTAATCAAAAAATTGGAGGAACCCTAGAAGTTGCCAAATTTTGACCCTCCTCTAAAATTTATATTTAGTAACCCAGACTGGCCCTCGAGTAGATACATGGCTTTTAACATATTACCTTGCTTGAATCTAGGTATAATTTCCGTTTTTCTTCCAACAGCTGGCGAGACGAGCTAGAGGCATTGTCCACGTCATGTTAAATGGCACACGACAGCACCTTATGGACCGACAGATCTTTCCTTCATTCATGGACGATAGGTCAGACATCGTGTTTGTTGCCTAACCACAGAAACCATTTGCTGAAAACCCCATTTTTAAAAAGAGAAAAAATATGTAAGAAAAAAGTATCTTACAAGTGCCTGATGAATCAATAGGAAACCAAAGTTACTGCCTTTTCAGAGTCCATTACAAATACAAAACATTATTTAAATAAACCATGCACGTAATGTGGTCAAGAATGGAGAGCAGATGGTGTTAGAATAGGTCAGTAGAACAGAAAATACTAATTGTTTCCCACTCGCACCACTGATCCTAATTCATAATTTAATCTGCTCAGTTATCTAGCAGAGAATCAACTGTCAAGTCTTCCAGTACAGGATGTCAAAGAGTTTAGAATTCTTGTGGGCCACACTCTTCATCACAAATCTCTGTGAGTAGATATGATAACAGCTGCAGCTGAAAAACCCGGCGTTCCCAGCCTGTAGTTTAAGCGTCTTATCATGGAAAGCAAGTTAGCCCTTGAAGCCAGCCACCCTGTTTGATCGTTTGGAGTTTTTCACTTTCCCAACCTCCGTCTACCTCAGTATAAGAACTTAAGAAGATTTTCTTTTGAATAATTAATAATTAAAAGTCGGTGATTGTATCAAAACTCCATCATGATTTCCCGCTATCCAAATAAACTCTGGGGGAACTAACAACTTCTGTTCTTTGAATAGCTAAGGGGTCATGATGATATTTCCTTACGTAAGTAAAAACCCTGACTTAACAGATACACTTGTTAGCTCTCCTTTGATTACATCATCGTAGTAGGCTCGAGTCCTTTTGTTGAACTTTCAGGGGCTGAATGGCAGTACTGAATATTCTAGTTTACCCTTGAATTAAAAAGAAAAAGAATCTCTCTGCAAATCAAATGGTGTTAATCACGCACCCTTACGTAAACCGGATCTGAACGGTCTCTTTTGAAGGTTACGCCACAAACTTTATGCATGCTTTCGTTTTTTTTTTTCTCAATTCCCTTCTAAGAATTAGAGCTTGAATAAATCGTAGCTGTTTGGTGTCCAAGTCAACTAAGAATGAGGTGTAGCACCTAAGCCACTCAGAATGAAAAATTTGTTTAATTTGCTAAAAAATAACGAGAACCACGTGAGAAAAAGGGCAAAGGCGTTATGAATTCCTAACTAAAGTACACTAAAAATAGTGATGCGAAAAATGTTTCTTATCATCATGCATTGATCCTGGTGCTTTAATCTAGGATAATTCTTATCCCTCGGTGTTTATTGAGTGTCTTCCACTTTTCATGGTGCTTCAATGTTACATTGACTTATTATGAGGGCGTAGTGTGCGTAATGCTTCGTGCTTGATCTGGCACGTGTAGGAGGCCTGGGTCGAGCGCAGAGAGCGGTGGATTGGTAGGGTCACGTGAATCGACTTAAAAACAATGAAAAACTGTAATTTATCTCGTTTTCAGGGAAAGATGCGACAGCTTGACTATTTTAGAGTTGCAGAATCGAGCCAAGGCAAGGGGATTGAAGACAACATGTTTTGACAATCCCTAGTAAGTAAATATATTGCAAACGGAAACGATTTCTTCCGCATCATTTATATTGCTTTAATTGAATTTTTAAGATTATGCCAGTCTAACGAAAAAGTCCAGCTTTTCTAGCCATTTACATTTGATTAGATGAAAACTGAATAATGTTTCCTTTCCTAAAAATGAAAATACTTACAAATTATGAAAAAATGATTATCATTTCTAATTTATTTCTTCAGCTTTATTCGACACCTTCTGTGCTTGGACAACCCTGGGGATCCCTTGTGTCTTTTCAAGGTTTATGACCAAGATGAGTTGCCGGAGAAATAAAGTTTTAGTTGGAAAGGAAATATAATGAGACGCAACACAATAGATTACATGAGTATGAACAACTCATGATACGAAATTTAGAGCACACTTTTCTCTGGCCGAGTAAGGACAAAAACTCCTACTAGCAGTCTTTTTAGGCAAAAAAAATGTTATTTACATAGATATGGGAGCACATACCCGATGTTATTATTCCACGATTACGTCATGTTACCATATTAGGGCACTAGAACATGCAAACATGCAACGGTTTTAATTAAAGAACGGTACGAATATTCGGACGTAAAGCGGAACAACAAAATAGCCGTACTGAACAATCCAAACTCTGATTTTTTTCTCCGTTTTTTTGGTTTCACTTATTAAACAAAAATTCCTTCAAGCCCTTCAGATGTGGTTTTTGGCCATAACAACACCTTAGGGGTTTCGTTTTTGCTGTCTTCGTCTTTCGCGCACGCCTCGTGCGATCAAAACAATGCTTGGGTGAGGTCGCACGATGTAGAAGTGACCATCAAAGTACTAGAAATTGAAACGATAGGGGGAATGATGTGGCCTAAATAAACTATTTGATCTCATATGTCGAGGTGTCAACTGCCTTATAAATAAAGGATAAACAAAATAAAGGACCCTTCGGCGTTTCAAGTTTTATTTCTATGCGGTAAAATGACAGTAAATATTTGATAACGTAACTATTTAGTCGCTAACGCTGTAAGAATGCTCTAACATATCAGCAAAACCAACAACAATTACAACATAGCTAGAAAGACTAAATTGATTCTTACTTTATCACATACTATTTCCCCTTAATCATGATCACCTGGCCACGAAAAATTGAGTGTTACAGCTCATGAGCTCTGTATGAAGCTTATCACATAACCTCTCTGAGATGATTAGGCTATGATCCTAAAAATAGGTCGACTGGTAAATACAAAGAGGGAAACACAATTATTTCACCCCGGGAAAGTACTAATTTTATAGATATATGTATAAGTCGTACCTTTAGACGAGGATCCCCCTCTCCTTGTTAATGAACATACGATCGCGTTATAAAGCAGAATGGATGTAACTGTCTGTCAATCGTATCAAACTGAAGTTTTGAGATTCTCACTGAGCTAGTAAACACATTTTGGTTTTATTCAACAAACATTAAACTATCTAAAGAAAAGAGTTAATCTCCCCTCCTATAAAATCAAATCCAAAGATTTCCACGAAGCTTGTGGGTTAACTAGTTCCAAGTAAATAATATAAGATCATTTCAAGCACCTGTTAAATCGAAACAGGAATTTGTCAATTGCGCTGATACGGGAAGCGCCCGAGTCTCTCAGTTCCACAGAGATTTTTATAAGGCATTATCAACTAACCAAACACTGTTGATTCTAGCAGTTGATTACACTGATTTTAGTCGCGAAAACTGTTGTGAGTATTCCATTACATACTTGTGTAACAATTTATCGGAGGTCATCTAAAATCTTGAAATAGCGGTCTACAAAGTATTTAATTCAAGAAGAAGTAAATGATCCACAAGTTGTAAAACTTGCTCCCAACTGAAATAACTTTGTTATTTAAGCATTTAAGTTAAAAGTTAAAAAGCTAACAACAAATACCACTCGTATACTGGCTTATTGGCGTAACAACCTAAGTCGATGTTAATAAAATGGATGTTAACAGCGAACACCTTCCTCTCAGACTCAACAAATGTAAAGCACTTCACTCTGAGACGGAAACCTGAAATTCTTCATGGATTTTAAATTAATTGATTATTAAGTAACAAACTTCTGTATTATTTGGCCTTACCATTTGTGCTTTTATTTCCGTGTTTCCTATGACAATACTATAACAAATCGAAGTATCTATAGGAAAACTCAGTAATTCTTACTTGTTTTTTGTTTCAATCATTCGTTGTAAAGAGAACTTATATCTTCGGCTTCGACTTATAACAAACACCATTTTACTTAAGGTTCCGCGTAAGTATTATTGCTATATCATGAAATCCTCAACGGAATTTCTCCAAAAATTACCTTCTCTCCCTGCTTCGTCGTAATCAACCCTAAAGAAGTCCACTCTATATCTCAAAAAACTTCCCATCCTCTGTCGTTGCATTCAAACTCAAGAATAAACTGGACGTACATGCGCACTGGAATGAATTCTGACGTTATGCAAAATAACCATAAACCAGCTTCAATAAACCTTTCATATAGGATTAAAACCTTTTAAAGTACTTAATTATGAAAAAAAAACGCCAATAAACGCTCAGTAAAGCAGATTCATTACCATGTAATTATGAAAAGAGAGCTACACATGCCTCCTCCTCTCCAACACTTCTGCCACCATTCTCCACCCGAGTCTCCTTTCACAGGATTCCTCCGTAGTAGAGCCAGTAAGCGATATTCAGAAAGATAAACACCACTGGAAACAGCAGCCTGGAGAAAAACTCCACAGTATTGAGGATCCTGACGTAGTGATCCTCTGTCTGAGGTTTTTTGGAACCTCGGCACCTGCCTGGTCTCGCCACAGTCTCAACCTGGGATTTTCCTGGTATCCAGACTGCCTCCTGACCTGAAGAGGGGCGGCTGCCAGGCGACGGAGGCGTTTTGTCATTATCGAGTAATTTCTCTGCTGCTTCGCAAGCTTTGTCCTGCAACAATACCAACAACAACAAAAGGAAATTTATTCTGACAAGTGCAAACAGCAATTTCGACAACGTTTTGTGTTAGCTAATCGTTTATAGAGAGCATGTACTATCGTGTCCAGCGGCCATACTTGTCAATTGAAACAAGAGGGAGTACATTGAATAACAGTTCAATTTTGCAAATGACTGAATTTTGCGAATGGCGTTTATAAATATGTCTGGATGCGGGACGCATCTGGTAATACCGAACCTTATAAAACCAACAGCTGTTAGAAACCTTTACACCTAACGTGACAAATTCCATCATCGGCTCAATAGTGAAATGTAAATGTGTCACCGCTTTCATACCTCGTCGTGTTTCTTTCTCATTGCAAACCTGTTTCGCTCCTCCTCTCGCTGTTTGAACACCAGATACGACACAAAGGCGTATTCCAAGATGGCGGAAAACACGAACAGAAAGCACATAATGAGTAACCATTCCAAGGACTTAACGTACGAAACCTGAAACGAGCAATAAGAAGTTTTGATATCACGATTAAGAAATTTGCGACATATTGTTAACCATGTCCTCTCGAGAGGTTCTGACTAGTGTAATCGCTTCCGCGGCTAATGGTTAGAATTTTGGTCATTTTACGGAAAACGGTTAAGTTTTTCCATTTCGGTTAACAGATGTGTTAGAAATTTATTCCAATTATTTTGGAAAGATAATCATTTATTGTTAGCGTTCTATAACGCATTTACTTGCTGGCTTTTATCATTAGAGTCAAGAAACAAGGTAGTTCCACATCGAGCTGTTGGGTTGATATAGAGAGACCCTCATGGAAGAGAATCAGAAACAAGGATACCGAAACTATGCTTTCAGTAAACCGGTATATTATGTTTTTATCGGCTAAGGTGAAACTCAGTATGGTATTTTTAGAACTGCAAGAGTGTACACTCATGCTAGGAACAAAAATTTGTCTCTTTGGTGACGTTGCCGGATTTACGCCCCTTTTCTTAGTAAAGCCGTATTAGGGAAAGGGAAGGAAAGCTTTCAGTAATGTTTCTCACATTGTTCAATGGTAAAATATATCCCATCTAGTAACTTAACGCTACTCCATCTATTAAGTGAATGATGACGTGTAAGCTTCGTGCAGTTACACCTTCTAAACTCTCCTGCAAGCCCCAAGGAATAAAACAGTACCTTTGGTAGAGAAGTCCTGGCACTACCAATCAGCGTTGCCATGGTGAGTACAGTGGTGATTCCCATGGCAATCCTGGCGGCAGTTTGTTCGCGATCGACCCAGAAACTGACCCAGGCCAGGACCACAATTAGGTAACACGGCAAGTAAATCTGCGAAATTGTAAACCATGGGTTTGTGAGTTTAAAGAACAAAATTAATCTGTCAGATCTTAAGGAAAAATCGCTTTTAGTATAAAATCCGTCATGCATTATCCTGTAATTTATTTACGCATTCAGGCCACCATTTGACCCTTTAAACCCCTGAAAGTAACTAGCGTCTTATTTCTCGGTAATAACCAATATCTATTTCTTCTCAGCTAAATCACTTGTTTTCATGTTTGTAACAGCATGTGCAGAGACTGTTAATTTGTTTCAAGCCATATCATCAAAGTTCATACCTGAATCATGTGGAATCCCAATCGACGAGTCAAATCAAATTGAATTGTTAGGAGAGAGTAAGTTCCTATGACACACAAACACACGTGTTTAGTGTATATGAGCGGGTAACTGCACATTGATGCCTTACTTCTAGTAAAAGATTTTAAACAATTTTCAATTTTATCTGTAGTTGGAAGTTGATATATTCCTGTGTTACTTATTTTGGTCGTACCTGAGCAAAGCCAACTGTTTGTTTATTCGTGCGAGGACACCACTTTATCTAGAGGTTCACTTAAAAAGCAGCTGGCTTAACTCTAACACCCTTCAGAGTGACTGAGTGAAAATTATCATTAAATTTAAGTTCGTGAAAAAAAGATAACACAAAACAAAACAAAACAAAACAAAATTCTTCTTGTCAGTACCAGAGGTGATGTGACGACAAAAAGTGGGGCGAATATGAATACCAATATAAGGGTGTGGTGGGATAAACACTCAAAAAGCAGTTTGAATGGATTTTCACATGCATACAAATGTTTCTTTACAATTTTTTCTTTATGTTTTGCATGTACGAACGCGGAGTGAAAGAGTATAAAAGCTTTCAGATGTCAAAAAGTAATATCGTACCAGTCGAGAAATCCTCAGTATCTGTGTAATGTTCATGAGAGGTCAAAGTGTAGCTGGGGATCTGAATTTTGTCCGACACCATCACAGGGTTTTTGTGATGCCATTGAAGGATCAACTCCTGTTCATCGTAACTGACTGAATAACACAAAGATATGAAAAACAGTTGAACCCTCTATAGATTTCAGGAAAACAAAATGAAGTTCAATTTATTGAATATTACTTACAAGCTTCAATGTTTAGATAACATTTCTGTTTATCCATCGGGAAATTTATCAGGTTCATTGGGCACTGTGATGTTACTTTCAGTCTTGAAGAAGACAAAAAATGCAAAGACCAGAGCATAGTGAGGAAAGGGCAAATCATCCACAAGGCGACTTCCCTCAGCATTCGTATAATTAAGTTATTTATAGTCGATAAGGGTGGAGGCGCAGTGGCCTCATGGTTAGTGCGTTCGACTCCGGATCGAGTGATCCGGGTTCGAGCCCCGGCCGGGACATTGTGTTGTGTTCTTAGGCAAGACACTTTAATGCTGGGGGTAACCCTGCGATGGATTAGCATCCCATCCAGGGGGGAGTAGAAATACTCCAAGTCGCTTCATGCTACAGAAACCGGAGTTAAGCACCAGCCTAATGGGCCACTAGGCTCGTAAACAGACTTTGCTTACTTTACTATAGCCGATGCACGTGGGTTATGTGACCAACTTTGTCCTCCAGAATGTATTTTGAAAGCTACTTATAGTTTGGGTCTTCCCTGTTCATCTGTTGTCGTAAATTTCTTGATATGCGTCCTCCCCCTCCTATTTCAGTAGTGTTTCTTTAAAAGTGCATGCATTTGAACATCTCTGCAACCTCGTGATCAACTAATGATAAAGTTCTTTTTACAGATTCATAATGGCAGACGTAAAAGTTGTGAGAATTGATGAAGCAAAAAGAGTAAGGATATAAGTCTAGAGCTAAAACATTTAAAAGACGTGCCTTCTAAATCGAAGGGATGGGTGGGTGGGATCCGTTCGCGAATTTCAAGCGAGGGAAATTTCTGCAAAAGATGCCATGCAAAACACGCTCGCAAAAAAAATAATTTGCAGAGACATTTCACAGAAAAAAGCTCGTTATGAGAAATCTAAACAAAATATTCTTGAAGTTTCCAGTTATTCCATAGTCATTCAAAGGAAGAAGTTAGAAACAAAGCACGAGTCATCTCCCCTCTCTTTTCCCTTTTAGTAGAATTAAGTTTAATTTGGTACAATTTCACCTCATGCTGTACAGAACGGTTCCATTAGGCCACAGTCGGACCACCTCATTGGTGTCAGTGATGTCGTGTTTAAGCCCGTCCTTGATTCCTGGAAAATGTGTGTCTGGAACCCAGATAAACTTGAGCATTTCAGGATTAAAGGCAAGTCTCTTTTGGTATCCCGTCTGGTTGTATTTCAAACGCTCGTCTTCCCAGTACTGACGGAAGTACATGATTGTCGTAAATTCCTGTTTTGAATAACATAAAAATAGAGTTCATTTGTTCTCTCATTACCGAACCACTGGCTATCCATTAACATTTGGGTAAATTACTGGAGCTCTTATATCTCGTCTGCCTCAAGATAACTTGCGCTTTCCCTTTGAAGTATATTTTTTCACAAAAGAAAATCTTTATGACTTTAGAATCGCCGTAACAAATTAAATTCTTCACAAACACGTACGATAGAATTAGCTTCCTAGATGACCTCCGCTTTTCTCTATTTGTTTTCACGTTTGCCCTTAGATATGCTTAGGGATATGTTGGTGTCTTAAGAATTTATCTCACATCGACCTGACATGGTGTAAAAAGATTAATAATTGAAAAAAATTGATTCGCACAACTGCTTCCTAAAGAATACCAGAAAGTTCGATTGTTAAGAAAAAATCAAAACATACCATGTTGATTTCATCGATATCCCCAATGAACTCAATGAAGACAGAAGCAGACACATTGACGGGGGGACCTAGACGGAGATTGTAATCATCATATTCACCGTAAGAACCGTGGCTCTTCGTTAATTGGTGGCTCGGAAGCTCAAACCCAGGCCAAAACAAAGTTTAAAATATTCACGTGAGCACAACACGTTTGCAAGAATTGTTTGCCCAACTAGTAAAAGACGCTGATTCTATGCCACTAGTATATACAGAGACAAAATAGGGTCATGGCCAACCAGATAACGGAATTTTGTAGTAGTTATGTCATCATTTGCAATTCAGTTTTTTTTTTTCGCTTTCTTTGATTCTTCTCGCACCCCAGTAACAAGTACCACTTCACTTTACCAAGAGTTAATTCTCTATGACTTTAAAATTGACTAGAAGCACAGTTACCTAACTCTTTAACTTTTCAGACAGCGATTGCCAGAGTCTCGAGATTAGGCAGCTAGTAAACAGTTTAAACATCAGGAAACAAATGGTTTGATAGGTTGATGTGTTACTGATCACTCTTTATTAAAGCTAAAAGGCGAATTGACAGCTTCAGAAAACAAAGAAAGACCATTTCATACCTCCAAAGTTAGGGCGAAGTCTTTTGTCATAACCGTCGAGAAGATCACTTATCAGTTTGCTGACATTGAAATCCCCAGACGAATTATTGGGCACGGGACTGTATTACAAAAGAAAAAGATACAGATACTGATTGCTCTGTGGATACACATGTGATAAGGGATGTTCTAGAAAGTAAATGTATTAGCTATAGGGACAAATATTTCATTTTTTTTTTTTGTTCATTGCGAAAAAATGATGACGGGTTATGATGGACCTTAAGATTTCTACGACAAGTTCTCCGACGATTTCGAATGTCATGAACATTGCAGGACGTGTTTCGACGAAATTCATGTCATTGTAAAGGCAAGATCAGGGCACATTAGCAGTTTTAAAATTTTACTACCCATGAAAGGGTTCGATTTTGGCCGATAATAATAATGGTCTTTTCTTGCTCATGAAGAGCATGATCAAGGTTCACGAAGAATACCACATCTTGGTCGTACTTCACCGTAAACGTAAACTCAAATGTTGTACTAAATATGGAAATCGTCCTTAGAATGTCGTGCTCTTTGATAAGGTGATATAAACTACAACGAGGACGATTTTCTTGTTCACGCGGTTGTCACAAAAAGGAAGACGCCGACAAGGTCAGATTTAATTTGCTTGTAATTAGCATCAACGCTACCCTTGCAGCATAGGAACTCAAATCTTTGAATCATCATTTCTATTCCGGTTCAACAGACAGTTGCGGGAAGATGCAATGAATGCTTTCAGTTTCTTCGTTTGTAACTAAATGAAAAGCCAAGGCTTAAAAGGTGCAGGTTGAAATCTTTCCCTGTAAATCATCAGTTTGTTTGTTTTTTTTTTTTATCTACTTAACACCCATTCGCCTCTCATAACTTCATGTGTTCTTTCGCTAAGCGAAGTCCGTGCGGCATTCTGGGGTTATCTCTAACCATGGAGCATTGCGCACTTGCTTTTGCTTGTAACTTTCCCCGCACATCTTGAGTGCTCCATTTCGCCCAAACCGATATTCATTTTGAAAATTAGTTCAAATTAGAGAAGCTGGGTAAATGCATTATGACAATAATTAAAAAGATACATAAAACCGAGGCAATCGTATTATAAAAAATTTGCGAAAGTAAAGTAAAGTAAAATTAGCGATGTAAACACTGATTCTTTGCTTTCAAACGTTTACCTGTTCACGCTTTAAGTAATTGAAGCAATAAGATTCTTATATTGCTGTGCAGGCGAAGTAATTCTAAAGGATTGAAAATTACCAAAGTTATTAGGATTTTGATTTCCATGATAATTTGGAACTAAGTTTTCAATTACTTTGCCCCGACAAATTTATTAAGCAAATCTAGGATTCGATTCACATCATTCAAGAAAGTTGGTCTCATTGAATGTAATTCAGGTGTTAATCGCTTCGCATTCGGAGTTTAAGATTTCCATTAGACGAGAAAGACAACCACAGATAAAAAAAAAGAAACGTGGAATTGAAAGGTTGGGGTATTTATCCGTGCTAATTGGCAAGAAATTACAAAGCGAAGGTCAATCAAAGCTCGACAAAAAATAACCACAGAGGATAATCCAGATTTATCAGCAAAATTAGCACTTCGTACTATTTTTGGCCTAAATTAGGCCTAGTTTATACGTCGAATTTAAAATAGACGAATATGATTCAAATTTAATTCGTCAATCAGTCGACGATTAATCGACGGGTGATTTAGACGTCGACTATAATAAGACGAATTTTATTTTTTGCCCGAGCCTTCCGTATTTATATGACCAGCGGCGAATTTTAAAAAACCTTTGAAACGCGCAGATTACACCAAGGCGGAAAAACCAAAACAAGATGGCGAGGTTTAGCAAAGCTTATTGCTAGAGAAAATGTCCAGAGAAAGTCAGCAGAGGAGAGAGTTGCGACGTCGAATGTTGACAATGGTCGTATTGAAGAAAAGATTTCTTGCTCGAGTGTGTTTATTGATTTGCCTGTTGTTGCAATCATTGGAAGGTGAAGATATTCAGCGTTTTAGCAGTTGTCGTCGCAACGTCAGAATCATAGGAACTGGTCTGGGCGACATATGATGAGGGAAGGTTCAAGAAGACGTTTAGAGTGTCAAGAAAAACATTCCGCTTTATTTTAAAGAGCATTAGACCCGATATTGAGAAAAATACTGACAGAGATTCCTGTTTCACCTGAATACAAGCTTGCCATTTGTCTCTACAGGCTTGGCTGGGACGACTACTTGTATAGCATTGCTGAATTGTGTGGTCTTAGTGTGGCAACCGTTCACAACATTATCAAAGAAGTTTGTGAAACAATAATAAGAAACTTATGGAAAAAAAAAAAGTCTTTTTATAGGATTACACAATTACTGGTAAACCAGTAGTTTCCATTGTGATCCTTGCAAACAAATGAAACAAATGGTCTAAATTGAACATAACATCATTAAGAACATCATTAAGAACCCCAACTGGCCGGAGGCAAACCAGTTGGCTATTTACAAGGGTGGCCAAGGATCTGAACTCGGGGCTACCGTGAAACAAATCCAGTGGTCAGGGTGGGACTCTAACCCGGGAGCGGAGGATTACGAGTCCGACACTCTAACCACTCGGCCACAGTACCTCCATGTGGCAGTCGTGTGGCAGAAAGAGTCAGTGCAATCTCATTTTCCAACTACTGAACAGAATTTCAAAGAGAAAATGGTTGATATGGAAGTGTTATGGCAGTTTCCTTCTTGCTGGGGTGCCATAGATGGGTGTCACATTCCCATTCAGTGTCCACCAGGTGGACTGAAGGCATGTGAAGAATATCGTAACTTTAAAAACTTTTACTCCACAGTCATGATGGTAATTGTTGATGCACAGGACCGCTTCATCTGGGCAAGTGTTGTTCAAAATCTGCAAAAGGTTCTTGGTGGGGTCATTATCTATGGTAGGTTGAAGCAGTTGAAGAGCTTTGCCAACCTGGTCAGTTTTGCTTGTTTTGAAAGTAGGTTTCTTGACAGGTGCAACTTTCTTCTTAAATGGAAGGTCAGAACTTTTATCTGTAAGATTAGAAGAAGTACTGCTACTCTCGCCTTCATCATCAGCCTCATTGATTCCATTATCAATACAATCTGCGGTGTTTCTACCAAGAGCAGAAGGTTCACATGCATTTTCCGGTTTACAAGAGTCTCTTGTTTTTACTAGTGGGTAGAGAAGGTTAAACCATTTTCCATATCCCTTATCTTCAATAAACCTTGTGATGCCTGAAGCAGTTTTAATTGTTAGCGAAATCTTCTTACAGTTACTGACGCACCACTTAAATTTATTCCTCGTCGGTGCCACTAAGAAAGGAAATTCATTTCCTGTAGCTGCATTGTACTTCTCATTTAGTTGTGCTAACATGCACCTTTTTAAAAACTTCACTGTCGCTTGCTTTCTTGGTATTGGTAAATACGAGTTTGTTTACCAGTCCTTCGTCATTGACAATGATATGTATCATATCCCTGATTTGTTCTTCGTTCCGACTGGTTTTACGCCCACGTTTGGCCTTTTTTCACTCCTTCTTCACTGCTTCGAAACCTTTCATCTTCGCCCAAATCGGTTTCATAAGCCAGCTCACCAGTTGGTTCGAGGTCGGAACGCTCTTGTTCAAAGATTAATTTGGAAGAGCAGCTGGTTCAATACCATCGGAAGGGTGATGGTCTTCGCTGAAGAATTCGTTTTGGCCAGCACCTGCAGCAGCTCCAGCGACTACCGCCGCTCCTTACTTTTGTTTCCCTCCTAACCCAATGTGTCTTCGTTCTTCTCAGCGATAGAGCAGAGATTCTGACACAAACACTTTTTCCACAGGCTATGCATGAATATTTTGTATTCCTTTTACAATTTGTGCAGGTGGACAGCAGATTTTTCCTCCACAAGGATATAACTCGCCCGAAGAAAACATACGAAGTGGGAAAGACGCGGGAAAAGTGAGTACGAAGGAATTGTTTGCGCATGCGACATGAACGAAACGAACCACGGGCTCAAAGGGATATACATTATAGTAATTTATTACACGACTCGGGCAGTCAGAGGGCCAATAAGTAAAATCAACCAATCAAAACGCTCTATTGCCGGTCAATATACTCTCAGTATTGGACCGAGCACTGTCCCGAATGGTCCCGAATGATACTGCACTTGTGTCCCTTTGAACTTCAGTCGTATAATAAATCTCTTATTAACCAAGCTTGCTCGGGACCGTACTGGAAGAATATCGGCCCTCGGTCTTTTTTGTACGGACCTCGCTGCGCTCGGTCCGTACTGTCAAGATCCCGGGCCAATATTCTCCCGGTACGGCCCTCGCACTTGGTTAATAAGATATACGTATGCATTGAATTTGATGCGTCTGTTACGCGACGTCTAAAATTAAGACGTGCTATCGCAATTGTATCCGTCCAAGCAAGACAGATACAACGTCTTGGACGAATTGAATTCATCGGACGAATGTTATTCGATTTATTCGTCGCGTAATCGTCGAATTTAATCACTAACAGTTCCCTGAATTAAATTCGTCCGAATTAAATTCGACGAATTTGCGACGTATAAACAGGGCCTTAGATTGGTGCGAAGAAATACTTCTCATTTCTGAAAACAACAGGTCACTAAAACTTGCAGCTGCTAATTAAAATAAAGTACTTATTTCGACTCCAATATCACTTGAAATCATTTTGAAATGCAAGAACTAAAAAAAGCATTTGTTACACCATTTTAGCAAGCCGAATGCCGCCAAAATAAAGAATAACGATGTTTATATGAAGTCCTACGACGTGTTATTCGTTTATTTTGAAAGTATTCGCCTATGCTAAGTTGTGAAATATTTTGGGAATCTTTGAATCACAATTAATTATGTCAAGCAATAAAGTTAAGATCGACGATAGCACAGATCATTTATCTTGTTATCTCAAAAGAAGAGGAAGGAATTGCGTTCGTTTAGTTTTGACTACATACAAAAAGTTCCGCAATGTTTTACATATATTTGATTTTCATCCATGTCGAAGCACAGGAATTGTTTTGCCGCCAAAATTTGTCAGGCGACATTAATTTTCTGTTTCTAATTCACTGTTGTACGGCAAAAAAGGAAAATATTAGTTCTAGATGTAATAGTTTTTATTGTACACAATACAGTCGACATGAACTCTTTAGAGTAATGTTCAAAACAAACGAGAAATTGAAATTGAGAGGAAACGACCCCTGTAGCGCCTTTCTAAAACTTTCTTTGGCATGCAAAGTTTTAAACAATTGTTTGCGATGTCCGAACAGCTTTAGCAAAGAAGCAACGCTGTACCTTTCCCAGCTTAGCTCTAGTCATATTAAACAGTAAGAGCACCGAGTTGTAGGTTTTATACACATCTGACATCGAATCTAAACTGAATCGTTAAAAAGTGAGATAAATTTTTAAAAAGAAATGTATAGATTCTTAAAGTCTAAGGCCATAGGGAGCCAACTACATATTGGCTTCAGTTTAATTAAGACCATAGAAGTCGAGCGCCAGCCGCTCATGAAATTCGGTGGTTTCTGCCGCAATTTTTTAGTTAAATGACGATATGTAAATGTTTGAGCGCGCTGGCGTGTTCTAATGATATGATATGATGTTGAACGCTAAAACAACGCCCGTAATAAAAGGTAAAACCAGCGGTTTTCATAACCAATCCAACAAATTTGATTCATTACAAGGTAAATACTAGACTGTGTCTTAGAAAAATACTCCCCCGGTAAAAAATTGTTCAAAATATTGTACAGAAGGAAATAGAAACAGCTGAACAATTTGTCTCTTCCGAAAATCGGACGAGTCCATCAGAAGAAAATTAAAAGTGTTGAAATTTTGACATGGAAATAAATTTAATTTGAACACAGAATTTAAGGAGGTCACGTATACGCGTTTCTGTAAATACAACGTTGTTACAAAATACAGGAGTACACAGAGAGAATAAATTTAGCTTATAAACATACATCGATTTAAATATTTCAATGCACCAAAATAAATCCACCACAACACGAAATGTTTTTTACGACGTAGAATAACCTTAAAAAGAAAAGTGAGTTTAAATAAGAGACAAAAAGATTGAAATTGCAACAGACATAGCCTCCGTTACCTGGATTTATTCATGCTCGCGTCCACGGCAAGCCCGTAATTTCCCAGCAAAAACAGGACTGCAATAAGTTGCGGCAACATCTTTACGGCTCCGTAGTCTTCAAACTAGGCGTTCCCTGCCTAAAATGAAGGCGCTCGGGCATTTATGCATATTTAAATTGGCGACAGGTGTGTTCTGCCGTAAGGTTTTGAATCAACACTTAATTAAATGGCTCTGCCGATTGTAATGGGGAAAGCCAATTCGAAGCCAGTAAATGGAATATATTTCGCCGAATTTGAATACCTTTGGCAAACAATAATAATTGCCTAAAACTAGAATGAACTTTGTCAAAGTACTTTTTAATATAAAACCACAAAAAAGGACTAGGGGAAAAGAAGAAAACAAAGGAACTGTGCTTCGTTTTAAACAATTTTTTCTATGGTACTGAAGAACAGTTTGAGGAATATTTTGAAGCAAAATTCTTGTGTTCTTACCCTCGAAAAAAAGCAGCACTTTCTAGAAGAAACAAATCCGCGTAATAGACGTGAATTTTATTTTCTTACCAAAATATGAAATAATTTTTTTTTATCCCGGCGCTGATGTTGAGAATGAAGATTGCAAGTACTTACCGAAGAAAGCATAAACGATCAATCGAAACTGCGAAAAGCCTAAAGGTCAAATTGTTATTAAGATCACTTAAATATTCCTTGATAAAACCTTTGAATTCGCCTACAAAAAAATAGAGGACCTTTTACTGAAGTGATAAGTTGTTGTGAGCGAATTGCTAACACTTTAAGTATTGTAAATAGATTAAGAAAGATGGCAAGTTTTCAAGCATTGTTTAAAAAGAAAGAAGTCCAATACAGATCATTTTTAAGCGTAAGTAAGCAAAACTATGAACTAAGCAAATCCAACGGACTTAAAAAGAAACAGAAACCAATTTGTATCTAAATACAAGTGTTTTGGAACATTGCGTGTCACAAGCAAATTTGATGCGAACTTGATAAAATACAAATAGATGAAACATTGTAAACAAACCGACAATTTTTGCAGCAAATGTATACACTCTTAGAGGTTTTTTCTCAGAGACAACATTTTTCTCAGAGCGGTGGTAGTATTCATTCAAATACGCAGTTGGTTCCTCTGAAATCTATCAACCGACAGAAAAACATACGAAAACGAAAGATAGTTATGTTAGACGCTAATGGTTTTCCTTTAAGTAAAAAGACAAAAACAGTCTCTACATGATACGACGGCCTGTCGGCGGCTTGTGATAGTGAACAAAGTTACGGAAAACCAGACGGCAAAATAATTCAAATGGAAGCTGTGCGCCACTGAAAGCTAAGATACTATTTCACGCAGGGAAGCAATGGTCCCTGAAGGGAATCGTGGAGATAAGGAAAGCCATAGGATTCCGCGGGACAAGCCAAAGGCGTCTGTCAACTTCCTGTATCAATTAAAATCTTAAAAAGAACGAACTACATTTGTTAAAAATGAAAGCGAGGCAAATTCTCGAATTTGGTGTTTATGCCTTTGGAAACCTTGGTTTTCTTTTCCATTTCAGGGAATTACGAAAGTGAACGAGGAGACTCTTACTTAAATAAAGTTATGAATAATGAATGAAAATTGGAGTTAAGGTTGTTTATGGACGAACTCGATCTGCGTATTTTTTCTGATCAAGTAAGTAATGAATATGGTACATGACAATTACACATTTTCACTATTGATCGTCGGTTTCAATCGAAAATAACTCTTTCAAGGAGTGAAACAGGGCCGGAAAAAGTCAGCCCTGGTCACTTTCTGCTAGATATTGTCACAAGCGAACGAAAATATTCAAAGTGGTAAACAAACAGCTTGGTGTTTTTACGAAAATCAGTCTGGGTTAAATATTCGTACGTTTCTTAATGACACACATGGATGTTGCTCTAGATCGACTACGAAAAACTGAGAAAACATCAGGGACGCGCGAAATAGTAGATCTTTGTTCCATACATAGCTTAACTGGCTCGATAAAGAGTTTCTCGTGCTCCGATACCGACATTTCAATAACCCGCTGAAGACAATTGAGGAAGATATCGGAAAGAACCAAGCTGGGCCGAGTTTCATCGAGCCATGAAGTACAAAAAGTATACGAAATAGCCAATTAGGGCCATTCCCTGAATAAAGCGTAAGCCTGGTTCCCGGCAGTTTATGGGTTTGAAAAATGGTGGCATTTGTGATCTCTACCATTTAATTTATCTCACACCGAGACGTTCCTCGGTACAAAAAGCGAATAGCCCATTTCCGAATTACCCTTCGCCTCATTTTCAAAACGAATCCTGGTGCTCATTTTTCCATATGATTATAAGTTTCATTCACATGCAAATTAAACTCATTTTCACAAGAATGGTTGAGTACCAGGCCTCGTTTTGAAAAAGAGGCCAAAAGTAATTCGGAAATTGCCAATATTTGATATCCTCCTCGTATTCGGCACATGCGCAAATGCTGGCACGTAATGGGCATGTCATCAGTCGAGAACAACGCAACTAACATTGTGACCGATTTTCTTTTTATTTTATTTTATTTTTTTAATTTTTGCAGGTTTACAGAAGTGTTCAAGTGCTTACAAGCTCGTACGCGCGCTTGGATAAATGCACGCTGGTGTAAGAAACATTTCCCTTAGCAGATATCAATATTTAACAATTATTGCACGAGCGCGCGTTGGATAGGACATGATAGATAGCTAACGAGGCGTGTAGCGCCGAGTTCGCTATAATCATCTCATATCCAACAAGCGCGAGTGGAATAATTGTTTTATTAAAAACGTTAAATTAAATTTTTCAACTTTATAGCTCCCTTTTAATTTTAAGCTGACGCGTACGCTTATAATATTTGTAGATTATGGTATATCCAACAACTATTCACCGAAGTAGAGGTGGTTAGTGGTCGATGTTTACCGTGCCGCGAACCGGCGAGGTAAATATCCACCACTAACCACCGACACTGAGGTGAATAGTTGTTTCAGTATATACTAAAACAGTGAGATAATATACACCACCACTGTAAAAAATATCATTCAACTTTGATTTTCAAGTGAACAAGTGAGGTTACGTAAGATTAATTTGCATTTGTAAACAAAACCTTTCTCGTTGGTTTTTATCGATAAATTCCGGGCTAAAAACTTAAACCATTACCTTTACACACGGCCAAACCAAATTAAGTCGCTTTCTTTGTGTATTCAGTCGCTAATTCAGTGCTTCGTCGTTAATTTGAGTGAATTCTTCGCTTGTCACGGATGCAAACCGGGACGCCATTTTTTCCCGAGTTGCTTGAAGGTAAATAGCAAAGGATATTCGGAGTTTGACTAGCCAATCAGAGCGCGCCTTCAATGCTATCCACTGTTTTAGTATATGCTAATGGGTCATATACCATAATGGCTATGCCAATAAAAAGTATTGAATTACATTATCCAATGATCCAGTTTTTAATAATTGCGAATAGCCCTCGATCCGCAATTGTTTTCTCAGAAAAGCTTATCCGAAGAAAATTTTCTTCCCCCGGTCAAAAAGGAAACATTTTTGTTCGCCTCTAGTTTGATAGTTGAACGTGTTTGGCAAGACCGCGGTTTCGATCCTAATCTTGTGGATCTCGTCAGTTGCCGATTCACTGAATAGACTGTTGCATCCGTATGCAGTACAATGTCTAACCATGACGAGAACACACTGTATCCTTAAGAAAATGAATAAAAATGCCTCCAAACGTAGCCGTTTGCTTCGATTTTACTTGAAAGTTTTACCTGTGTGACCCGATAGCCTCGTTTCGAAACTTTAAAGTCCGCTGAGCTCTCGTACAGTGGGCGTAAATGCGATAAGGGCTACTCGTCTTCTTCGTTTTCTCTCTTCACTCAACCATCTATGGATCATTCACCGTGTAGTTCCTTCTGCATAACGCGATAATTAGTGATTTGAAAATATAATCTTTCTTGCCTTGCTACTGTTTTTTCGAGAGCGCAAAGTTTTAGTTCCCAACTGAAATTACAGTCATCTCCAACGAAATAGAATTGTTCTTGCAAATCAGGTATAAATTAGGCAATCGGCTCAATAAAATTACAGCAATATTTTCAAGGTACACGGTCGTAAAGGACTAACAGATAATTTGTTCTTTAAATCGCGCATTGTTTTACATACTTACAACAGACCTGAAGAAAAAAAGCTTTTTTAAAATAAGAAATAAATAGGATTCCAATTTGGTAACAGTATACCCTTACACAGAAAATTGTCGAGATCTAACACAGTACAGTGACATGAGATCCTGTCTGTTTGGTGTAAAACAGCTCGCTTTTTTAATTCAGTTTGACATTGTGTAATGCTTCGAACAAGTAATCGACTCATTAACAGTTCAAAACTGGATTGATGTAAACAGGAGGGAAGGTTAACTAATGAAGGCTTCGGAAGTTGTCAAGTTTTGATGTATTTTTTTTTTCGGTGCTTCTGTCATACGACATTAAAATTGGAATTTATCAGATTTCGTCGGTTCGCATCTCTAACAAAAATGTCATGGGCTGCGGTCAAATCGAGTCAGTAAAGAGGCGATAGAGCATTTTCTGATTGAGGATTGAAGGCAAACCAGGATTGCAACGGTTGGGTTAAGATCACACAGCGCTGTAAGTTGTTTCGCCGCGTTTTGCCGCGTTTTGGCTGATTTATTCCTAGAGATATTTAGCTCAGGTCTGACTAGCCTTATCGGAAACTCCTTAGGAACAAAAACTATTCAGAATGTTTTTCTGGCAAAAAAATGAGACATCTGGAAACTATTCTTTCCACAATAATCTCATAGTGACCGTTAATCAGAACAAGCATGCTCTAAAAGTAACCAGTCAGGAGCAAGACGAGGAACCTAAGTCACTTCTTGTGTTCGAATTTTCCTACGTATAATGTCTTTCTTGACTCATATTGGTTAAAGTGCTTTACACCTTGTTTTCTTCCTGTGTTAGCTGGTAGTAGAGGGTAGGAAATTAGGATCCAGGTAATTATAACCAACACTAGTGCTGCCTCTGCTGAGTCCAAGATAGTCCCCGTCCACGAAAAACGTAGAACTACAATCTACTGGTTCCAAGTGATGCTCACTTGTGTGGACACCCACATTCACATTTCTACTGGAAAACAGATTGGAAATTAGTGAACAAGCGGTGCATAATGGGGAGTCTATCTGTCACTGTGATAATTTTTACTACACGATATCACGTAAGAAAAGAAGGTAATGACGAAAAATGGTGTACAAAAATATGCATGATCATCTGCTATCGAGAAAAACTTTCCTCCCAGTCGTTTTTCCCTGATTTTGGGCATAAAAATAAGAATAAATAATACTTGAAATTCCAAGATGGCGATTACAGCTCGATAATCTACCTTTCAGCGCACTCTGAGCAAAAATCAACACTAGCGTCCTTTGAACAGTCAGTACAGTGCCATCTTGTCCCTGATATTGGATTCATTCCGCAGCCATCACACTGTAACGTAAAACAGCATCTTGTTTAAATGCAAATACATTACTACTCTCCAAACGTTGTACAAACAAACACAACCTTGTTAACTTACCATGAAGCCATGGTGCTGGACAGACATCTCACTTCGCTAAAAATTTGAAAAAGGAGTTAGTCAAGGACAAAATAAGACACATGGACTGGACAAATATTTGTGGGGGCTACCTGTTGAGCTTTGGAACAGGAAACCTTCATGCACCGATAACATTTGTCCACAAATAAACTATTGCACAAGAGGTGTAGTGTGCAAACAACCTAAAATTTCGCCGTTTCCCGTTTCCTAAATGTGATAGATTTTATGCGTAAAGTAGGCCAAATGTAACGCTTGCGAAGATCGTCACCTATATAACTTGTTTCAAAGATATTAAAATAAAAAAGTCCTAAAATACACTAACACACCCGAGAATTATTACAAAACGTTTGCCATACATTTCTTAACTCTGGATTTAATGGTTTTTCTTTGTTATAAAAGACAACACTGTTTAAAAATCAAAAACGAAAGTTAAACTTGCGGTGCTTTGATTAGTTCAGATCTTTTGTTTCATCATATTAAGTGTTGGGCAAAGTTAAGTACTGTTATGTGCAATGTAGACGGATGCTAACACTATCTCGCTGTTTCACTGGAAAGAGGCACAGTCATTCATTCTCTTTATTTTTTTTGTTTTCAATAACTTCCAGGCTGTTCAATACAAGCTGGCTTTCGAAAAACATGCTTGGGTCAATGATGAACCTGAAATCAATCCATTTTTTTTTTTTTATTCTCAGTTCTTCATGACCAAAAAGGTTCTAGCTTTCGGATAAAAACAAAATTATCAAAATTTGCACCATGTTACAAAATCAAACATTTCACTTCCCTCAGAATCGTGCAGATCATCTAAAAGATTTGATTTCGCTCACTTTGCTTAAAAAAAGAATGTCAATAAAGATCTGAGATAAAAACAGATCTTTATCTATTCCAACAGTTACAGAGCGTAACTGTTGGAAAAAAATTCGCAATCCCCATCAGGCTATTCTGCGTCTCACAAGGGATGGTAACTTGAACACTTCATTTTCGGAATGACTTTACTGGAGAATCTTTCTCAGGGGTCATTGAGGCACGTTACGTAGATAAATTGATTACATAATCATGGAAAATATATTTTCCTGAGAGAAGTCGAATAAAAAAAAAAAAAAAACTGAAGAGAAAAACAAAAGGACGGTCAATCTAACAGTAGAGCAGAATCCAAGTAAAAATTGCTTTCTTGCATCTCAGGTTTCGATTGAAATAGCTTGTTTTTTTTTCGTTCAAATCTATTGAATGCCAAAGAGCAGATCTTCATTTTAAAAACAATTTCGTAAATTGCTCAGAACATCTCTTGTAAACATCAGTGGGGGCTCGTGGACAAAAGTGGCTCTCCTGCACCTTCACTGAATAAGGCAGACTTAGTTATAAACTGCTAGACAACATAAGTGTGTGTACTTGTGAGCTTTTCACAAGATATAAAGAACTCAAGCTTGCAATGAAACCTTAACAAAGACCAAAAAGGAGAAGCTTTTGTTGGTCACGGAAATTTAACAAAGACAAAATTAAAATTAAAATTAAAATTTAACAAAGACCAAAAAGGAGAAGCTTTTGTTGGTCACGGAAATTTAACAAAGACAAAATTAAAATTAAAATTTAACAAAGACCAAAAAGGAGAAGCTTTTGTTGGTCACGGAAATTTAACAAAGACAAAATTAAAATTAAAATTAAAATTTAACAAAGACCAAAAAGGAGAAGCTTTTGTTGGTCACGGAAATTTAACAAAGACAAAATTAAAATTTAACAAAGACCAAAAAGGAGAAGCTTTTGTTGGTGACGGAAATTTAGTTAGAGCTGGCAAGTCAGCAAAGTGGTTTGACGTTGAAACTTTCATTCAAGAATTTCTGGGAGAGATCGCAAGCTCGCAGTTTGATTATGGTCAATAACGCAACGATCTGTAACCAAATTAATATTAGTCATAGCAACTCCTTGCAGGCTTCCGCTCTAGTATTGGTTCTTACAGGGAAAAACATAGCATCATCTATAACAGCAACTTTGGGAAATGCATTAATCCTGGCTGCACTTTGTAAGGTGTCCTCCCTTAATCATCCGTCCAAATTACTTATCCGTTGCTTTGCATTCTCGGATCTCGCGGTTGGTCTTCTTGTGCAGCCAACAGCAGCTAGTTCATTTCTTCTTGTTTCCTTGAAACAATGGGATCACTGCTATTTCATAGAGCAACTCTGGCTCCTCTCCACCTCATTTATGTGTGACATTTCAGTTCTGACAACCATCGCAGTTAGTGTGCACAGGCTTCTTGCTTTGTCTTTGGGAATCTGATATCGCCAAGTTGTGACGATCAAACGAGCTCGCGTTCTAGTTGTTCTGGTACTGCTGGTTTCCACAGGAACCTGCGTCTTATTAGTGACGAACACATTCGCTTCTCGCGTCTTCAATGCCATAATGTGGCCTTTATGGCTTGTCGTCTCCACTTACTGTTACACGCGAATCTATGTCACTCTCAGAAATCACATCCAAGCTCAAATTACTCCACAAGGCCAGCCCATTGGAATTGAGCCTTGCACTTGGTGCGATACAAAAACACAATGTCCAGCGCTCTATCGGTTTTTGGTGCGATGATGATCTGCTACTTTCCTTACGTATCGATTTTTATTCTTAATACTGTTGAATCTTATTTCAGTTCTCCAAGCTTTTCTACTTTAACAGGTAACTTGTTTACCACAACTTTGCTGTATTTAAATTCTACAGTTAATCCCATGCTGTACTACTGGAAGATCAAAGATGTTAGAAATGCAGTTAAAGAAATTCTGGATAATCTTGGGCTCTGAACAAAGTGTTTCAACTGGGATGTCATGATTAGAGGGCAGTAATAATTTCATGTCAATTATGTCCTACGATGTCAATTCGACGCACTCAAGTCTAATGAAATCAAGTCAATGGAAACAAAAATAATAGGCGTGTTGTCGAGTCAATATAAAACCTTGCGGTAAAAGTAAATCAAATTAAAGAGATGCTGACACTAGCCTCAGAACTAACGACGCCAGGAGACGTCAAACAAAACAGTATAGCCAAATGAAGTAGTTTCATCAATCAACCTTATCTCATGTTGCGTCAAGCCAAACGAAACAGTCAAGACAAATAGTTTCATACCTTTGGTCACCTAAAATCATCTTGAAAGCCGGGTCCGCAACACTCACTTTGCTATAAAGTCATTCAAGTCACTCAGTTTCCGTTCAAAACAAATCTCCTGGCAACGCCTATGCTGATTAATACCACCTGTAAACATAACTGCGCATGTCTAAAGGGATAGCGATCCCTCCCTTCGATCCACATCGTTGACAGAAGTTTTTGGCTCGTTTCTTGGTTGCTCGCAAAAATTTTTCCTTTCACATAACCTTTTCACAACACAAACAAAACTTGAATCATATTTACCCCATAGGCAGACCGACATAAAAAGCACAGTTATCAAAAATATTTTTACTTCTCTTCAGTACATATTCCAAATTATGTCCGACTAGCTCATAAATTTCCCTTGGTCATTAATTATACTCAAGAGACCAAGCAATTGCGAGGGTTTTCATGGACAATGCAACGTTTTACGCCTCAGAATAGAAATGCTCATTCCTAGTGTTAAAAGTAATACATCAAACAGAAGCTGAAATCAATATGCTCCTTATGGAGGTACATCTATTTATCAATAATTGCTGCCTGTTAGTCTGTCGCAAGGAAAAGTAATTAACGGTGTTTGATGACAACAGAAGTGATTTTCACGAAGGTACTCCGCTGCTCCCTTGCACGATTACAACAATACTAAATATGCTTGAGATGAAAACAGCACTTCCCTAGAATCAATACCGAACTGGAACCAGCACCTTAAATCATATATAACACATGGAGCTGAAAAATCATCTCGGCCTCCATAAAAATGAAAAGCTTCTTTATTCCTCATCGTATTTACTTCTCTCGGAGTGTCAAATCTCAAACTATGCTCTGGGACATCGAAAAAGTCAAAAAGTATAAGAGGTTTCGATTTTTATTCGCATTTTAAAAGATCTCCTGAAATCCTTCAACCTCGGTCAATAATTTCCCATAAATTTTCAAAAAACTGTACTGTAAAGGCTATTGACGTTTCAAGGGTCCCTCCAACAGGTGTATTACGCGAACAAAATGGAGAAAGAATTAAACGACTGTTTCCTGTCACACAAATACTTTTAGCGAAGGCCCACAATCTATAAAGAGCAAAATCTTAACAGACATAGCTCCTTTGTTCCGTTAGCACCTTGCTTTTATTCCATTGCATCCAAAAATAATTCAAAGAAGTACAATAACAGCTGGTTGTGATGAACACAAAAGTCCACGAGTGACCAAAACTGTACTTTACATGAATACTAAAAAGGAACCAAGAGATTTTACTCCGTGAAATTTCAAAAGATAAACATTTGCGACATCGAGCTAACTACATGTAATCACCCTTACCTCTGCAGAAAAATTTAAAAAACAATTTACTCCTCCATAGTGTGGTCCTTTCAATTTCCTTGCATATTACAAAAACCAACTTCATTTCCTTTTGACAATGCAATATGTTTGATTTAATAGAAAATTCATTTCATTCCGTGAAATTTGGACAAACAGCACTCATTGATTATTCTGCGGATTCTAATGGATAAGCAAATAGAGAGGTTACTTTTTTTATTTGTTTATCCCTGTGCCCTAAAAAAATATCTTCAATTAACGCCATTTTAAAAACGGAATTTCAAAGATAAGTATTTCGACAAATTGTAAATAATTCTACCAAACGTCGCGAGATCCCTACTAGGAAGATTGGCAGAGCATAGAACTGTCACCAATATAAGCCTCACTTTATATTCAATAAAATATTCAATTACATTACGGTGGGATTTAATCTTACGATCCCGTTGATAATTATTCGCACTCTATTGATTTTTCATGACAGATGTTCAATTTACAAATATTTTTTTTCAAATATCAACCGCGATTCTTGAGGTAAACAGTGTTACTTCGAAAACAGTACAAGAGGAAAAAAATTAGTTCCTTTTATTCTCGTCCGA